CGTCTTTCTCAAGAGAGAATGGAGTGCGTCTTTGGGGGTGAAGTCAAACCACTTTATTGGCAGCACCGCAGTCACCTTCCCGGGGTGCAAGCCTGGGCCGTGTGTCTGGAGGTTCTGGGCTGGCCAGACAACAAGACCCCCCCCCCTCAGTCTTGCTGCTGTGGGCCAAAGGAAAGCAGAGCAAGACGTTTGGCACTTGCTTTGGCTGCAGGAGTTGCTGAGAGGAGGCATCCAAAGCACAATCCAACCACCTCAGGGACTCCACTCTGGATTTGTGCAGGGTTTACTTCTTAGCATTTTATTACCCCAAAGATATCCCACAAGGCAGCAGAGGTCTAAGATCAGAGTTTTTCTTCTCCTAGATGGGCTTCCTTCTCAGGTGGATGAGCCCCACCCGCCCCTCACTTCCCTCTACAGCCTGGGCAGAAACCACCTTCTTGACTGGTGGACCCATGATCAGTCCTGTCTGCCCAAACTGCCAGAGCCTGTCTTCACTTGCAGGGGGGGGGGTCCTTAACTGCTCCCAAATCTCACCACAGACATGAGCTCACCATGAACATGGTAGCTACCAGCCTTAAACAAACGGCTCCTCTCCTGGCCTCCATTTCCTGCATCTGCAATAGAGGGATGATACTATAAAGGTAAAGGGTAAAGGGACCCCTGACAATTAGGTCCAGTTGTGGCCGACTCTGGGGTTGCGGCGCTCATCTCGCTTTATTGGCCGAGGGAGCCGGCGTACAGCTTCCGGGTCATGTGGCCAGCAGGACTAAGCTGCTTCTGGCGAACCAGAGCAGTGCACGGAAACGCCGTTTACCTTCCTGCCAGAGCGGTACCTGTTGATCTACTTGCACTTTGACGTGCTTTTGAACTGCTAGGTTGGCAGGAGCAGGGACCGAGCAATGGGAGCTCACCCCGTCATTGCGGGGATTCAAACCACTGACCTTCTGATTGGCAAGTCCTAGGCTCTGTGGTTTAACCCACAGTGCCACACACGTCCCAGGGATGATACTAGTCTTCCTTAAAAAATAGTTGTTAAGCCTACTAAGTTGGTGGGTGTAAGGTGTTGTCAACCCCCTTAAAACGTTGTATAGATGCAAAGTATCTTCTCATTATTAATGATAACTATGATGTAAGACCAGAGTAGGGTGAGAGGATGAGAATTGCGAAAATATGCAGTATGGCCTGAGGCACGACACACATCACTCAGCTTCTGCCCCACCCATTCAACAGTCACTGTGTGGGCCCATTCTCCTCCTCCTCCTCCTTCCTGACCTTCACCTTTTGGTTCCCATTCTGTTCCCCTTATGTCACAGCTCCTCCCTGACTCCTGATGCCCTGAGGGGGTTTTGCAAGAGAGAAATGGGGGCAAACCAGGCAGGAGAAAGAAGCCCTGGAGGGATGGGGAGTGATGAAGCAGGAGGGAGCGGATGATGCTCCATTGCCAGGGGCCTTCCCTGCCTATCTCACTTTCCCAATAACTTTTACTCATCCTTAAACACTGCAAATCAAACATAAACAAAAACACTGCCTAATTTCCTGCTGGTGATGAATGGAAAATCTCACTTTCCCTTTTCATTCAGCCGTTTCTTTGACCACAGCCTTCCTCCTGACCTTTCTCTCCTCAAACCACGGAGACACACAGGATAGAAATAGAACACAGGTGGCTCTTTTTCCAAACCCAATCTACTTTGGCCCATTAGATCCCACAGACATGCTGGAAAATTTGTGACTAGTAGATACCTACAATCCAAAGAACCGGCCGGTGAGTTTGAGTTCCAGCCAAGAGGACAGATCTTCCTCCCTTCACACAAGCTGGACTGCAAACAGTCTGTTTTCTTTGTTCCTTGAGCAGAACATTCTGTGCCATCACCCACTTCACCCAGTTGGAAGCACCACAAGCTCAAGGCAGGATGGAGTGCACCTTAGGCTGTGTCATCTGTGTAGTCCATGGATGAAGAGGTTGTTCTTGTCACCCTTGTAACCTCACTTCTGTCAGTGAGGGAACCACCAGAAGGCCCTTGGAGCAAGATCTCAGTGTCTGCTGCCCAATCTCTTAAAACCATGAAACTAGAACATTGGGGACCTTCACACTTCTCATGCACCCTTCACTCTTGCAAATTAATTCCACACTCTTTTTTATTTTTGGTGCAAACAGTGGTTATTGCTAGGTTTGCACTGCAGCTTGAGAACCACGCTTAACCTCCATGTTGTAGTTTTGAACAAACCACAGTTAGGAAAAAACCAGCAATGCTACCCATGGGCAGCTCTGAAAATGGAAGGGAGAGTTGGAAGCGGGAGTAGTACCAATGCCCTCAGGGTGATCTCACTTTCCTAGCTGTGGTTAGAAGACTGGGCAGCATCCATACTGAGCCTCCGTGTTTGCAGCAGAAATGTCTGCCTATTGAAGAACTCTTGCCAAATTCATTTGCCCAGGCCTGCCCGTTCAGTTTCCTACAACCAGATCTTCTAGTCCTGGTCTTGGAAAGCAGGTGAGACTGGAAGGTTTGCACCCAACTTTGGAGCCAAGATAGGAAACGTGACCCCAAAATCCCCACACTCTAATGGAGCAACATTCAGGGCTCTTTATTTGCTGAGTTGTACTTCTGAGCAGTGGTGAAGAAAAGACCTAGGATCCCCTTTCCTGAGTCATACACCAGCGTGCAATTGTATGAGCCACCCGGTGACCTTCTGCATGGTCCTTGAGCTCAGCACCAGAAGTGGGGGAACACGAAAGTCAGTAGCAGCAACATGTGCTGTAGAGGAACTTAGTCTTGTGCCATCACTGAGGCCAAATCAAGGTCAGGGATAGCTATGCAAGCACCACTTTTTCATATTATTTCTACAGCAATTAGCATCCTGCACTTTCAGGTTCCAACAGGATTCCCAAGGCGTCTTACAAAACAATGCAAAGTCCTTTTAATTTCACATATCAAAACATAATTGGGGAGATTATACACAATCACATTTCCATTATCATTTACACCTGCAAATGTTTCAGGTGATCACACCGCTTCATTTCTATTTGGTGCATGCCCCGTCACTTCCTGCTAAAATCCTGTCACCTTTTTATACCATAAAAATGCCGGTTTATTTTTTGTCCCACTTTTGCTGCACTAAGAGGGCGCCTCCAAACAGCAGTAACACAGTAACATTGGAGAACATCATAGGACAAATAACAGAGCGGAATGATGCGCCATCCATCATTAATGCACTAATATTGAGTCAATTACGTGTTGCAGAATATACCTGCAATAAACACACACACACACATGGGGGGGGGGAGAGAGAGTGTGTGTCCTGGCTTCTCCCAAAGAATGCTGGGAACTGAAGTTTGTTAAGGGTGCTGAGAGTTGTTAGGAGACCCCTCACGAGGCTACAATTTCCAGCACCCTTAACAAACTACAGTTCCCAGCATTCTTTGAGGGAAGCCACGATTGCTAAAGTGGTATAAGAGGGATTCAAAGGTAAGTGCAGCTGTGACCTTAGCTAACTTGAAAAGACATGCTTGTGAGGTTTTATGAATGGCACAGAAGTTGCACACACATTCCAGCTTGATCAGGGATAGTCTTGGGGCTCATCCTGAGAGACAGCAGAAGAGGAGTAGCAGAGGTGAGGAGAAGTCATGGGGTGGTTTGGAAATGAACTTAGCTGCCAGTGTGACCTTTGGCCCTGAAGAAAGCTAGGAGCTCAAAGGAGGTGGAAGTTTTTGTGTTTGTATAGAATTATTTTCACAGGGCTCTTCAACACTCTTCTGCACTTTCCAGAAACATCTTAAGACTTATTATTACTGATAATAATATTTAGTAGTCACTCTTCCCACAAGTGACCTAAAGCAACTTACAAACACAATATAAACTCTAAAACTAATTACAAAAAAAACAACCAATGAAAACCTTAAAGAACCCCACAACTATACAATTAAAAGACATAACTTAGAGAGCCTGCCCCACTAAAGGAGGCCACAAGGACTTGAAATTCTTAAGGGCCTGGCAACTAAAAATAAAGGTTGTAGCAGGCAAGCCTCCCTGGGGAAAGCACTCCACAAGCAAGGAACACCCTGAAAAAAGCCCGTTTGCATGTTGCCAAACTTGCATCTGGAGCTCCTGGCTTGTTTCCGTGCAAAAGCTCATCTTGTAGCCAAGTTATTTTCCAAACTACCCCATTTCTGTTCTGACCAGTTTTCCCAACTGGGTGAATGGTTGTCTCTGCCATGGTTGTGTCCTTTTATTGTGTTTCAGTTCACCTGCAGTTATTTTCTCTGCTGTTTTTGCTATACTATGTACATGGCCTTGAGACATATATGCGAAAGGCAGTTAATTAGGAGGAGGAGGAGGAGGAGGCAAACGGAGCTTTCAGAGTCTCCAAGAGGTGCAGAAATCTGCCTCGCTCCCTTATGAATTGCTTCCTGCAATCTCCTGTCATCGGAATGCTTATTTTACCAAAAGAGAAGTTCTGTGAAACTCAGAAGCTTGCCCAGACTTAAAAATCACAGACTGATTTGTTCAGTAAGAAATGCCATCTGCATGGGTAGCTCAGTTGGTAAGAGCCTGGTGCGGATAATCCAAGTTTGCAGGTTTGATCCTTGCATGGGGCAGCAGCGTATTCCTGCTAATTCAAGGGGTTGGACTCTGGAATTAGATGATCCTCAGGGTCCCTTTCAACTCTACAGTTCGATGATTCTATCTCACTTATTCAGTACAGTATGCCAATTTCTGTAACACGAAGGTAGTTACCAACACACTGTAAACCGGAAGAACGAAGGAGGAAATTTCAGTGATCAAACCGAGAAGGAAAGAGTCTAGTCCAGGGTACAAGAGTAACACTCTGGGAGCTCCAGAAGGATGTGCGTCTTAGAAGCCAGCCGTCGAAACAGCCACCATCACTTTCTTTCAATTAACCGAGTAATCCCAAACTTCCGCTCACCCTTTTTGGGGGTGGGGGCTGCAGCGGCTCCCTCCCGCCTTCCCCGTCTCTCCCTTAAGACAGATTCTTGAGGCAAGAGGCGCTCCACCCTGGCATGGCTCGCTCAAAACCACAGGCTGCCGCCGCCGCCGCCGCTGTCACGCCCATTTGGCAGCCCAGGCAGGAAAAGCAGGGGGAGGAGAGGCGAGGGAAAGTGGGGCGAGCTTTAAATACCAGCCCGAAAGCCCAGCAGCGGCAGGCTGAACGGGCAGCGCACGCCTAGAGAGCAGCGGCAGAGAGCAAGGTGAGCGAAGGGCCCCAGGCAGAAAGACCCCTCAGCCCCCAGACCTGGGGAGGAAGGAAGCCGAAGCCCGTCTGCGGATTCCCAGAGAAGTGTCGGCCAAGGCGCCCTCTTCTGCCGGCCCCGGTTCCTCCCAGCAGTTTCCTACGCTGGCGCTTGACTGCCCTTCCTGCTAAGGCTTCCCCCTTTCAACCCACTGCCCCAGCCTGGGTGGGGTGTCCCCATAGGGAGAGGAATCCACTGCACAGCTTGGGTGGAGGGAGCTGCCCCTGGGGTCCTTCCCGCCTGTCCCCATGCCAAGTGATCCTTCTCTCCTCCCATCCCTTATTTTCGATCCTGCCCAACCCACAAAACTGGGACACAAAGAGCTTTGTTCAGCCAGGGTTAGAGAACTCCCTCGCAGGTGCTACTCTGTGGATGATGTTCCCACCCCGTTTTCTGAAGGTCCCTCTCCTGAAACAACTCTCTCTCTCTCTCTCTCTCTCTCTCTCTCTCTCTCTGCCTTCCAGGCCACGACTGAGTCACTTCTCCCCTTGGGTTAAAAATGGACACCTCTAAAGTGTGTGGGTTCCTGACGGCCAGCTTCCTCCTTCTGGTTCTGCTGGGGGATCCAACTGCAGCCTGCTCCTGTGCCCCCCGGCACCCCCAATCCGCATACTGCTATGCTGATGTTGGTGAGTCTCTGGACGCTGCTGAAGTCCACGCACTGCCCTCCTCTCGGCACTGTCTGACTTCCTCTGCCCTTTGGGGCACAGCTTCCCCTTTGACTCCTAATGCTCTTCCTTGTCCCTGCATTGGGGGGGGGGGGCTCATGCTCAGGCATTGAATGTGGCCCTCGTCAGCCCTCTGGACTCTTCCCAGGACCACACCCCTCATTTGTCCTGCTCCACGTATTCCTCACATGTTTTTGCCTGGCTATTCTGTGTTCTTAAACAGTCGTAATGCCTCTTGCTTGCCTGGCTAGAAGTGTGTGAATGCAACCTACTGTAAAAAGGCAAGCCCCGCCCACTTTTACCTCTAGTCCCTCCTACCACTAGCTCATGCAGCCCCCAAGAAGGTTGTCCATGAGGGAATGTGGTCGTCTGCCTCTGTCCTAGATGTTTGACAGTGGAACAGATTCCCACAAGAGGTGGTGGACTCTCCTTCCTGGGAGGTTTTTAAGCTGAGGTGGGCTGGTCATCTGCCATGTATGATTTAGTTGAGTTTCCTGCATTGCAGGGGGTTGGACTAGATGACCCTCAGAGTCCCTTCCAGCTCTATAATTCTATGATTCCATGATTCTGTGAATTCTATCCATCACTCCCATAAACTGAAATTCACCACTATGCCCCAGGGTTGCAAATAGCCACTTGCCTTGTAGACCTAATACAAAGGTATTTTTATAAAAGGGAAGACCATTGTTCTCTAACATGTCTCAGGCTACATTAGGCTGTAGACAGGCCACAAACTATATAGGTGCATAAACAGGCTAGTAACTAAGTTGGCAAATCTACACATTCCCCCCTTCCTGTACCAACAGCCTGTGTGTTCGTATCCAGTCATTTAAAGGGTTTGATGGCATACCAATGCCACTTGAGTAGTCAGACTTCAGGAGTGTGATTTGAAGTCACTAGCAATGCTTTCACTCTGGATTACTTCCCTGTGGTGAGCGCTTATACCCAGAAGAACCGCCCATCATCTCAGCATGCCTAGGGCAATTGGATTGAGGGGGGCTTCCAGACTCTCATTCTTTTCAGATGGGAGACTGGCAAATTCTGGTTGCACAGTTGTAGTTGAACGTTTGTAGTAAGGAAAGTGAGGAGGAAATGCACTGGAAAGCGCAGAACCACCTCACTTTGGTGCATTGTCATCTAACATCCTCACAGAAGCCTCTGAATAATTGCTCATTAAATAGCCAGTGTCATCTAAACTCCCTGCAAACAAATCAGGACACAGAGTCAACAAACAGGTTATCTGGAAGCGCCCCAAGATGGTGATGAGGATGTTGAAGATGAGGGTTCTAGCAGGGCTCTTGGGTCTTCCTCATCTTCAGCTACCTCACCTGGATAAGTTTGGCAATTGAACCTTCCCCCAACAATTCATCTCCATCCCAGAAAAAGCTTCACATGCGAAATTTCTGCAAACCAGGCAGTTGTTAGAAGTGCAGGAACCCAAACACCACACAAACCGAAGGTTGGCAGCGCAAATGGAAACTTGGTCATATATCATGGTATGCTGAGGTTTTATCCCCTCTAAACGCTCCTGGAACTTTTTCAATACTTGTGCTTGCTAACACCCCCTTAAAAGGGCTTCAGAAGCATTTTTAAGTCCTGCAATAGTGCGCACTTGATAATAAGTAAATATGCCCTGCACTGCCCCCTGCTGGCAGTATACAATCGATACGTATTCCCTTATGTACCTCAGCTACGGTCAGTATAGAATCCGGCAATTAATTTCGCCCCCCAGAACTGTCACTAGGAAACTTTGACCCTGTCACTGAAATAAATTAGGCAAATGGGCATGTTTAGCTGGTAGGCTAGAGTCTGATTTAAAAAATGTGCCTCTTTCTTTTCTTGTCTCTTTTAAAAAAAGATTTTTAACATAAAATGATTCTGGGCTGTTTTATTTTATTACACATTCTAAATTTGGGGTGGGATGCAATGCCCCACTATTACAAATCTTCCATCTGCACAAGCACTTCAGCCAGATGGAATGACGCCCCCTCTTGTCCCTTCCATCTGCTTTTCTGCAGGTTCTCCCAGCCTCCCCGCCCCCAGCCAGTTCCAAGGAGAAGTGGGGAGCTCTTTTGTGCAAGCAGAAGTCCTTGCACAGGGCTTCCTCTCAAGGGGCTCCTTAGGTGATTCACCCTTTGAATTTTTAAGATTTCTGTTCTTTCCTTGAATGAAAGAAAGTGGTTGGGATTGAAAGAGGCTCAGGACTCATATAAGACTGAGGTGGGGAGCAGGAGGGCAATTGCAGACAGATATCACCAGTGTGACTGAATACAACAGAACTTATTTGGTTTACATGTTCTAAACCCTGATCTCAGCTGTTATCAATATATTATTATGCCACTAGTAACAAAAATTGCAATCATAGGTCTTTTATCAAGTCAGACCAGTGCTTTTTTCAGGGGGTCCTCAAGGGGACGCAGTGCCAGCACCTCTTTTGTTGTTGTTAAAAAGTGTGACACTTACTGTAACAACTTCATGGTGAGTGCCAGCACCTATTTTTCTAGAAAAAGGCACTGGGTCAGACTATTTGTCAACCTTGCCTAGTATTGTCTACTCTGATTGGCAGCAATTTTCCAGGGAGGGTTTTCCCCCATCACCTGCTCCCTGATCCTTTTAAACTGGAGGCACCAGAGACTGACTTTGGGACCTCCTGCATGCAAACATAGGAAGCTGCCTTATACCAAGTCAGAGTACTGCACTATCTAGCTCAGCATTGCCTAGACACTGACTGGCAGCAGCTCTCTGGGGTTTCAGAGACGGGACATTCCCAGCCCTACCTGGAGATGCTGGGGATTGAACCGGGAACCTTCTGCATGCAGAGCAGATGCCCTGCCCCCAGCGACAGTCCCTCCAAGGACCTAATCAGAGGAGAGCACTAGCTATGCCCATCACAAAGCGGTAGTAATTTGAGTCCTCTTTGGTTGCAGACTCACAACGCAACACAGAGAAAGCAGTTTCCCTGGCTGGACTAGGGGGAGAAGCTCTCAGAGTGGGATTTCCACTTGCAGTCCAATCACACACACACACACACACACACACACACACACACACACACCCCTCCCTCCTCCTGCTCAGTTTCCTCCAAAAGCCTGCTTGGAGGGAGATTATGGGAGAGCCTACAAAGAGGATTACATCTCACTTTGCATTTCCTAGCAGATCTATGACAAAAATGTGAATGATCTACAGCCGAGTGTTAAAATGCAAGTGGTTTTTCAACAACTCCAGTACATGAACATAGCTGCAGGAAAATCTGCCCAGTGGCTTTTTAGGAACTCTGAAAAGCGTCACCAGGATCCCCCCCCCCAAAGTACTGAAGACTTCCTTGTTCCAGCAAGCTTTTGTTTTGTTTTTATAATTTGGTTTTAATGGCTGAATTTGCCCCCTTCTTCATTGAGCCTTTGTATTGCTGTTTGTAATGCAGTTTATTGTTGTAAGCTGCTCAGAGTGGCACATTTTGCACTGAAAGAGCAGAATCTAAATGTCTACATAAAAAAAAACACCAGGTGGTCACAGCCCGCTCTCCACTTTTTGTATTCAGGGGGCTTTTGATATCAGATGGCCAGCACAGCCAGAGGTGAGATGATGGGAGGTAGTCCGTATGGAGGGCATCACTGACTTAACTCCAAGGGGAGGCATCCCTGTTAGAAGTTGGACTTCAAAACTCTGACCCTTACAAGAGAAAGAGAGAGTAGTTTTATGGGGAAATCGAGTGTGAGGAAGGGTTAGGGTTAGGGTTAGGGTGTCCTCCATATGTGGTCAGGCTCCAAAGCCCATCCACCTCAGCCAGCAGAGCCAAGACTTAGGGGAGATGGGAGTTGTAGTGCAGCAACATCGGAGGGCCAATGGTTCCCTGCTGCAGGCCTTGTGAGAACAGCAGGTCTGGGTGTAACTCTGAGGCTGCAGAGCAGACAAATCACAGAAGAAACTGTAGCCGAGGTGGCAAGATTCCCAAGCGTCCTGCACCATCCCTCCTTTGGGTATAGCATAATGGGAGAGAGGCGTATGAAAGTCAAGGTCAAAAGCCGGGAAAGCTGGGGAGAATGGAAGAAAAGCTGTGATGCAATACCGTTTTTTCCTCTGCAGTGATCCGGGGTAAATTTGTGGGAGTCAGCAAGCAGCAGGTGAACATCTCCATAGGAGAACCAGTGTGGTGGATGCGACACGAGATCAAAACCACCAAGGTGAGCTTCTCCCGCTACTATAATGTAACCCTTATGCTGGTGGGCAGGACAAGCTGGTGGAGATCCCATTCCACAGCCAGTGAGCCTGCTTGGATCTACGCAGCAACAAAATGCAGCAGCCAAGTGTTCCTCATCCTCAGTAGCTCCTTCCCTCTTCCCTGAAGATGCTGCGTTTGCTGAGCCTACAAACTTCCCATGCAAAGTGAACCCTTTGCCTCTCTTCCTTGCAAGTTTTTGCAGAGAGATGCAGCTATCCAGGCTCTGCCCTGCCACCCAGTACGCATTCTCAGAACAGCTGGTCCCCCCCTTTCCTTTCCTTTGTTTTCATCCTCACCTCCCACTCCCTGCAACACCCTCTAGACGGGAAGGGGGGGCTGCAAGGTGCCCTTGAGCTCTGAGGATGCTTGTCTGGCAGGAAACCAGCCTGCAGCACAAAGGCAAAATGTACATTGCTAAGGATGCTTTTGCCTCTGGCCCCACCACTAGTGGCGTGCAGCCCTCAGGTTCCCTGCCTCTGAAGGCTGTCTGCACCCCCCGAGGCCTCCGCAGCACACTGACAGGTACTCCCTTGAGCTCACATGAGGTGGCAAAAGATTGAGCCTTCTCAGCAGTAGACCCTTCTTCAGCATTAAGGTGATGATGATGATGATGATGATCAGTTAAATTTATGGGGCTTGAACAATCATGAATGCAAGACATGTGCTCCCCCTGAGTACAACCTCTTCCCCACTTCTGTAAGAGCCGGGAAGAGTCCTGTCCCTGCACCTGTCCCTCTATTGGCCCCTTCCTGGTCACTGACCCACCTCCCCCCCCTGCACAGGTGTACAAGGGCCCTGAGGAGATGCAAGATGTCCGTTTCCTCCACACTCCTGCCATGGAAAGCCTCTGCGGCTATGAACACAAGGGTCCTCTCAAAGGAGAAGAATATGTCATTGCAGGTATGGTGTGCCGTCTTTTTGCCAGGGAGCACTTGGGGCAAATTGAAACTCACAAATAACCCTGAGTGAAAGAAGCAGGCCTATGCGCCCTCTGCTCACAGTCATTTGAGGGCAGCATGGATTTGTCAAGAGGAGCATCATGTCACCAAGGCCTAGATATGTGGGGAGTGGCTATGGTACCCTTTGCACATGCTCAGAGGCACCCCCTGCCAAACTGCACAAGAAAGGATAGGCAGCTCTAGGGCCCTTCCAGGATCAGGGCCAGCCCCGTCACAGGAACAAAAGCCTTTGGCAACAGGTTTGAAGTTCCCACTGATAAGGAGCAAATTGTCGCTTGCATGCTGTTTTACAGGAGCAGGCGCCAATGAATTTTCTCTCTCAGGTGTCTAAATGTCTTGAACCACCACGAGTGAGAGAATAGGGAAATACAGGGGTGAAGAGGCTGTGATGGCCACCAAGTCGGATGGCTTTAAAGGAGAATTATACAAACTCATGGAGAATAAAGTCATTAGTGGCTACTAACCAGGATGGCTATGGTCAGACCCCTGGCAGGCCTCTGAATCACAGTTGCAGGAAAGTGTAGGAGGGGAGAAGGCTCTTCTGCTCAGCTGCGGCTGCTGCTGCCTGGTTTGCATCTGGTTGGCCTCTGTGAGAACAGGATGCTAGACTAGATGGGCCTGATCCTGCAGGGCTCCACTTACGTTCTTAGAAAGTGCCAACCAGTGTAAGGGTTTGGCGATATCCTGGATGGTTTTGTTCTGCAGTTGCTTTGACACCCATCTGAATCTTCTCCTCTTTCTGGACCAGCCACAACCAGCCCAGGGCCTTTGTGACATCCGGGACTGTGTCCCTCACAAAGCTTCCCTCTTAGAAGAGAGGAAGAACAAGTCAGCCTCACGCAAGACCTCCTTGGGAGCGCTGGGTTCTGGACATGAGCACACAAAAACGGGTTTGGGGAGGTTTTTCAATGGAAGGCTATCAAGTTACAAGATTTCAGGAGGAAGTTACGGAGAATCACCAATAAGAAACAAAGCAGTCTTGAAACCTTTCCAGGTGCAAATCATATTGAAATCCTGTGTAACCTCCCTGATACCATCATGAGCACAAACCATCATGAATACCCAAGGAAAAGGGCATCCAGAGTAGCCCTTATACTGTAGATTTTGAACATTTTAATCCCAGCTTTTGTCAGAGAGCTCAGGCCTGATCTAGACCAACAGCTTAATTCGGGGGTGCCCAAACTTTTTCCAAAGATGGCCAGATTTGATGAAGTGAACAGGCGTGAGGGCTGACCAAAGTTGTTGTGCTTTTTTTAGGATTGAAGTTGTTGAGCTAGGATTTAACCCCAAACTTGATGAGCTTTTTAAAGGATTTTACCCCAAGGACATATATTGCCACGGGGCCCGGATTAAATCGACCGGTGGGCCAGATTAGGCCCCCCAAACAGACTTTGGACATGCACTCCTATGTGGTCAGCACCTCTTCAGAATACAGGAGTTGGATTGGCCAACTGAATGCTCTCCCGTGGAGGCAGGTGGAATAGCTGCTGCACAAAGGATGCCAGCATCTCATGGATAGTTTTGGGGCAGGCCAGAATGCCTCCTCCCACCAACAGCCAATTTTTCTATGTGCAGTCAGTGAGTTGTTCTTTTAAATGGATGAGTATTCAAGAATGTGAGCACCCCTACAGTCAAAGATGACACCGCCCAGGAATAGTTTTATCTCACAGTGAGCGCCTTGTCTAGGCTGGCCTCAAAGCTGCTTGTAACAAAAGAATGTGAACAATATGTTTTCTGCTCTAGTGGCCAAAAAACCTCCAAAACAAATAAACACAGCATGTCTTTTTGAAAGGGCAGCTTAATAACAGAGTAGATTGCCTAGGAAACTAGTGAAATCTCTTTTCTTCCCAGGGATACTTTAGCTATGGTTCATGATTCCAAAGAAACACTAGAAAACACATAATGTCGTTTGGGGCATGAAATTCAACTGACTGAGAATATCAGCTTTCATTTAATTAAGAAGAAGCAGGGGCAGCAGGTTTCTAGCCCTTGTGTTTTTAAAGATCTGTTATGACAGCGGAAATCTCAAAAAGCAGAGAGGGTGCTGAATGAGATGCTCAAAGGGGTTCAGTGCCTCACATGGCTTTCTAACCTAAGCCATGACTACCAAAGTCAGAATAAATCAGGCAAAACTAAACAAATGATGCAAAAAAATGACTCATACAAAATGGTCTCATATGAATTATGTACTCAGGTCACACAATTCAATTTTTGGGGAGCATGGAATTTGCATTTGTCCAGGAAAAGATTTTTTTATTACACACATACACACCGAAGGGCAGATTATGCACAATCCTGCTTATGCTTGCAAAGATGCGTGGCGTTATTGATAAACCTTCAAACCTCTCATCAGGTTACAATTTTAGTTATGAAAGCAAGGTCTGGGGGTGACAAGGCCTTGTGAGCAAGTCCTCTATATTCTCTTCCTCCACATTTACACTTAACTTTTCTGTCTTACCTGTTTTTTCACCTCCCAACAGGCATGCTGGAAGGTGACCGTGCCATGATCACGGCCTGCTCCTTCATCGAGCCGTGGTCTCAGCTGTCCTTTGCACAGAAGCGAGGCTTGAGTTCAGACTACAGCAAGGGCTGCAACTGCACAGTAAGTACCTGGCCCCCAGCAGACCCTTTCAGAGGGACCCCAGGGACAGGAGGGCATATGCTTGCAGATGGGGCAGGCCCTCCAGAAGAAAGCATGCACCCTCTGAAGAGCTCTGTCTAGCTCAAAAGCCAATGTCATTGGCAGCAAAGGGTCTAATGGAAGACGTGCTTCCTTATCTGTTATACGTATGGGCTGCCATACGTCCGGGATTACAAAGGCAGAATTGATGTCGGGGGGGGGGATTTCCGAAAGTTGGCGCTTTGTCCTGGGGTGTCCTGGTTTTTATTTTTTGAAATATGGCAACCCTATTTGGACCCTAATTTATTTTTTAACAGGAACCATATTTTAAACTGAGCAAGGATTGAAGGGTCAGCAGCACTGACTCCACCCATTCACCCTCTCTGACATGACTCAGGGCTCCTTCATCCCCTTTTCTCCAGTGTGGAGAGCAAGGGAGTCTTTGGCGAAACTCTCCCCCATTTGATCTCCCTGAGTGGAAGAAAATGACTATGAATTGTTGGGAACTATGGGCTTCCCCATGGGAAAGCCCTGTGGGGCCAGAGTGAGTCCTCAGGTCGCTGGTGGCTGGTCCTCACGATTAGGGCAAGGCAGAGCTAACACATCACCAGCAGTGATGGCTGGGGTGCAATGGAACTGGTAGGGCAAAAGGCAGGGAGACCAACAGTAGGTGGCGCCAGAGCCAATGACAGGCACAGAGACCCCCAATAGGATGTTAAATTTTATAGTTCATTAACAATCAAAGAAGAATGGATGGAGGCAGCATCCAGATCTTCATTTTTCCAAAATGTAAGTAAGAAGCCAAGCAAGTGGGGGCTGGCTGAGGGCAGAATGAGGTTGGTGGAGCAGTGCCCCATTTGCCCTCCTGCAGGACCGGCTCACCCATGAGGCAAGGTGAGGTCACTGCCACAGGCAAGACGATTCACAGAGGAAGCAGATCTAGATATGGATCTTATCCCACCTCACTTGTTCCTGATGTAGATCTCCCCCTCCCCCTTCTTCCCTGGTGGGGAGGGGGTGCCATTTTCTGGCTCACCTCGGGTGCCAAAATGTCTTGGGCCCGTCTTGTCCTCATGGACCAGCTTCCACTGGTCAACAGAGGTGGGGGATGGGATGTTGCTATGATGCGTGAGGGGGGGCCTGTCCACTCATGTTTCTGTGTGTCACTCTTCCTTCAAAAAAAGGTCGTGCCTTGCAATTCCATGCCGTGCTCCATCACTTCTGACAACCAGTGCCTGTGGACAGATGGGATCATGTCCAGGATATGGGATGGCTTCCAGGCCAAACGCTTGGCTTGCCTGCCCCGGGGCGAAAGCACCGGCCTCTGCACTTGGCAGTCGCTGAGCACTCAAGGGCCGGGCTCCCTTCGCAAAATTCTCCTGAGGCAGTGATCTCTTTGTGGACCCTTCCCTTCCTATCTCTGGATTGTTTCTTTTAAAAATAAACATCAGTTCCAAACCACCTTCTCTCTCTTTTTTTTAAAATGATATTTATTAAGAATTTTAAAATTACAGAAAAGACAAAGAGAAAAAGAAGGGAAAAAAAACAAAAGAAAAACAAGCCACAATCCACAATCAAACAATACAAATTAATAAAAATCAAAATCAAAAAATAACAACAAAACACGTAACACAACACAATCAAAAAGCAAAAATAAACCTCAAAAATTTAAAAACAAATCCAATATTCTCAAATCCTTAACTGTCATTACCTTATTTTATCGACCTCCTCACTCCTCCCTTTTTTTATTCTAGTTGTTAATTATCACAGCAAATCCTTTCCCTTTTTTCATAGTATTCTGTCATTAAATTACCTTAATCTATTTTAACCTTATCTTACTATAAAAGACCCTAAAACTTAAAACTTAGATCTTATTTATACCAATTTCTCATAACGATAACATATTCTTACATAATTCTTTTAACATTTCTGCTAAAGCCAAATAGTTTCGTTCCAACATTTTTCTAACATTCATCAATTTTATAAAACAATCCTAATAAAAAAAAAATTTAAAAACTTTCTTCCAATCTTCATCCAACGTCTCTTCCTCCTGGTCCCGGGTTTTGTCAGTCCTTTCTATCCCATCAATCTAGCTCATTAACCTGGTAATCTTATGTCCGAGGCCCTTAAGTCACTTCCATGTCCCTTCCGCAGCTCTTCTTCATATTTATACCTGTACTTTACTTTATCTCCTGCTCCTTTTACTCGTGGAAACTCCAGCTTGACAGTATTTTTGTCCCTTCTCGACAAATCAGCCCCTTTTCCATATTCCACACTAAACTCCATGTGGTATTTAAAAACATATTTCAAAGTCCCTCCAGAATTAAGAACCACCACAACCCCAAACATCTCACGGCCCATTGCCAGACTTGAAGAGTCAAAACATCCCTGCATAGGGGGGTCTATCCAACCCCCCATTTCCAAACCAAACAAAACTGTATCTCTCCAAATCTGGCTTTTTCCTAGTTCATTTGTCAAATCCAACAACTCATGTTCCTGCTGGGCCACAGCTCCCTCCATCACTGCCACCCGAGGTCCAGCAACATCCTCTTCCCTCATCTGATCTGTCAGAGCACACTCCTGAGTTGATTCCTGGGTGGATTCTATATAATTACCCACAACCTGTCCAAAATTTCTGATCGCAACAGTCATCAAGTCCGTCTTCTCATGTAACTGTTCCAATAGGGCACTTGTTTTGCAGAAAGCACGCACCAGAGCTTCTGAATACATTGTTATGAAGGTCAGAAGTCTGTTCCCACGATCTTAATCTGTTGCAGCTGCAGAGCTCCCCGGTTCAGGTTTAGTAACAGTTTCACAGGCTCCCTCTAGGGGAAGAACTTCTATTTGTATCCATCTCTCTTCTTTTTTTTTCCTTTTCTTTTAAAGGCAGATCTAACAACAAAGTTTCCTTTTTCAGATATTCTGTCAATATTTGTTCCTTTAAAATGCGAAGGAGAGCAATGGAATCACTATGTTTCTCTTCTTTTAACTGTCTGTCAAAGACGTTTGTCTATAGTCAATGAGCTTCCCGAAAACATCAGTCTTGACACCCCGCTCCCAGGTTCAAGACGGTGGAAAATTACTTTTCTTTACACTCTCTTCTGCAGGTTTAAACAGTCCGGAAAAAATCCCCCCTCTTCTCCTGCTTCCGAGAGGGGTTCAACAATTTTAGATGATGAAAGTTAATCCTTTACAAACGATTTTCTGAACTCTAGTTTGCCATGTCTTTGCTTTAATCTATCTACAAGAAACGGAAGGCTGACTTCCTGTTTAGACCTTCCCGTTTCAGTGCCAAATTGACAAGAATTTCTTAGTCCAATTTTCCTTTCTACTCACAGGTCGTTGTTTAAAGTCCAATTGTCCGAAATTAAGCTACTCACGGGTAGTTGTTTTAATAGCCAAATTGTCCCAGGAAAAAGGCAGCGCTCTCCGGCAACGGCTGTGCGGCTTCGCTCCACGGAAGAAGCAGTTGACTCTCAGCAACACGCCACTTGCCCCTCTTTGCTCCGGAGCCCGTAACTGGGTTCCTTTACGAGTTGGGGGGGCGTGAAAGGTGCCCGCCGAGTCCCATGGTCACAGGCTTCATCCGCCTGTGATTTTTCAAAGGGTCCCCGCTTCGCCGTAGCGGGAAAGACCCATTTTTCGTGGAGCCAGTCCCTCCGGATCAGAGGGAATCCGCCATTACCGATGGTGCCACCCCGGAAGTCCAGTTCCAAACCACCTTCTCTGCCCCCGCCTGTTCTTCCTTGTTCGTTCTTTGCCTGGAAAATCTGAAGTTTCTGTTAAGAGCAAGCCTCTAGTTCTTTTTCTGGAAGAAAAACCAGAAGAGCCAAAACGTTTTCTGCAAAAGGCGTAGAGCCAGGAGAAGTTGTAGATGTTGTTCTTCAGTGGTCAGGGAGAGAATCTTCTTCAAAATGAGCCGTAGAGCCCTTCCCACCTTGACATTTTCTGCAGGCCCTTCCAGATGACCTGTTTATTGAGCCTCCAGCCTCATTTGTTTGCAGGGAGATGAGCTGACCCTGGCTATTGAATGAGTTGTTTGTACCAAAGCAAACGTTATACCACTTTTCAGTGCATTTCCCTGTCACTTCTTCAGGCAAAAAGCCCAGTATTTGGGGAGAGTAGGCTTGTCACGCAAGATCTCCCCATCAACCATAACTGCACAACCTGAATTGGCCATCATGTGTTTGAATCCCACTAGAAGATAGTGACAGTCTGGAACTGCCCTCTGACTCCTGGCCCTTCCCCATAAACCTGAAATGCTGCCCCCTGCCAAAGCATCTGCTTTCAATATTAATCATTGGCCCCATGTAGCTTCCAAGCTGTTCAAATGCGGCTCCTAATGCTGGAGAGGTAGCTAAGGGGCTTGCCCTTCTCCCTCCTCCATCTCCAACCATGCAGTGAACTCAAGAGAACCGAGGAGGAGGAGGAGGAGGAGGAGGAGGAGGAGGAAACAAAGGCAATAAGGCCACTCAAGCATGGGCAGTGGAGGACTGTTCCCTGCAGATTGTGGCTCAGCTTGAAGAGGAAGGGATGGAGCAACTGCTGACAGCAATGGACTGTTTGGAGGTCCGTCCCCCCCCACCAGCACCACCACTGTGCCTAACAATTATACTAGGCGTTGAAAGAAGAGTTTAAAATAAAAACTCCCTGTCTGCAGCTCTGTAGTTCATTGTTTTAAAGGCAAGGAGGAAACAGAAGGAAAGGGCGATTGGGAAGGGGGAGGGTTGCTAGATGATGATACAGATGCTAAGGAAAGAGGAATGACTGAAGCAAAGCAAAGCAAGAAAGAAGAGAAGCTTTTGGTGTTCAGAGGTGTGTACTACCTCTGACTGTGTGAGTAGCACAAAGCCATTGTGGCTAGCAGTCATGACCCTAGTTCCAGTAACAGCAAATGCAAACCATGGGTTGGGAAACCCCAGTCCAAGCCCTTATTCAAAGTCCTAGCCGCAGTCTCTTGACCAGCAAGGTGTGTCCATGGGAATACCATATAAGGAAGCATGTGACATATTTTGAATCTGAAAGCTGTGGGATCTCACCCCATGTCATTTAAATCCAGTGCACAATGAGAGCCAGCCAACATTTAAGCCCATGACAGCCCCATTTGAAAATAGCAATGGGCCAAAACCATCAAAATGAATGTCAACAGGGACAAATGTCAGGTTCTGCACTTAGGCAGGAAGAACCAGATGCACAAATATAAGATGGGGGATACCTGGCTTACTAACAGTACATGTGAAAAGGATCTGGGGGTCCTAGTAGACCACATGCTTAACATGAGTCAACAGGGTGATGCAGCAGCAAAAGAAGCTAATGCTATTCTTGGCTGCATCAACAGAAGTATAGTGTCCAGATCAAGGGAAGTCATAGTACCACTCACTTCTGTCTTGGTCAGACCACACCTGGAGTCCAGTGTCCAATTCTGGCACAATTTAAGAAGGATGTTGACAAACTGGAACGTGTGCAGAGGAGGGCAACCAGGATGAACCAGGGTCTGGAAACTAAGCCTTATGAGGAGTGCTTGAAGGAGCTGGGTATGTTTAGCCTGGAACAGAGGAGACTGAGAGGAGACATGATAGACATCTTCAAATATCTTAAGGGCTGTCACATGGAAGAGGGAGCAAGCTTGTTTTCTCCTGCTCTGGAAGGCAGGACTCGAACCAATGGCTTCAAGTTACAAGAAATGAGATTCCAACTAAACATTAGGAAGAACAGTAAGAGCTGTTTGGCAGTGGAATGGTCTCCCTCTGGGGGTTGTGGACTCTCCTTCCCTGGAGATTTTAAAGCAGAATTTGGGTGGCCATCTGTCATGGATGCTTTAGTTGAGATTACGGCATTGTAGGGGGATGGACTAGATGACCCTCAGGATCCCTTCCAACTCTACAAATCTAGTATTCAAGCCTCTCTGATCACTGATCTAGCACAAAAAAGGAAGAAGAAATATGGTATCTCTAGCCCTCCCACCACACTCCAGCCCAACTTACCATCTCCTTGTGATTGGGGTAGAAGGTCTGGTCAATGAGTGGGAATTCTTCCGGTCCAAGTTTGCGAAAGAGGCGAACCATCTGGGCAAACTGTCAGGAGGACACCACAGGTAAGAGACAGAACAAGAAAGAGACCTTCTAAATCTGTTCTCGGCTCGCTTGTGTTCTAACTCTCCCATTTGCCTCTATTGCTTCCTTGAACCCCTTTTCCCCTCTGGGAGCTGCTGCTGCCTTCACAGGCAGACATTCGAAACTCCACTTGACGCAGGATGCTGCTGCCCAGCCACCACCAGAAGTCCCCTTTGGGCATAGCAGCACCAGCTGCCCATCAGCTGCAGGCCAAAATCAAAGTGGTGGTCATTACCTTAGCCTTCCTTCTTATGACCTTCTGCTCTGTTTCCCTTCTATTTATGAAGCAAGAACATGAGAACATAAGAAGAAGCCTGCTGGGTCAGGCCAAGAGGTCCTCTCCCATCCTGCTCCCACAGTGGCCAACCAGGCATTGCGCCCATGGCACCCCAATAGCTGCTCCATGCCTGAGGCAGGCTGCCATATCCTTGCCTGGATCTGGTGAGCTTACAGCAACGTAAGAAGAGCCCTGCAGGATTAGGTGCCTCTAGTCCAACATCCAGTTCCCACAGCAACCAGCCAGAAGCCCATGGGAATCCTGCAAGCATAAGCGGAGCAGAACAGCACAGCACTCTCCTCACAGGTTCTCCACCCACTGGGATTTAGAGGCCTAGTTCCTCCAGTACTGGAGGCAATATAACCCTCATGCCTAATAGCCCCGGAAGCCTTATCCTCCAAGAATGGTGTCATCTATGCTCTAGAACAGCCTCTCTGCTTGAATCCTGCCAAGCCTGTTGCCCACTTCTCCAGTTAACACTTCTCCTGTTTAGCCAAGGCTTTTAACTGGTTTTCACTGGCCATTCAAGTTTTAGTGTCTCAGCTTTATGTCAATTTCTTTTTAATTTAGTGATGGTTCCATGGGAAGAGAATGAGCAAATGAGCCCTGTGTACACATGATACCTGTAAAGTACATTTAAAACACATCCAGTCCCTCCAGGAATCCTGGGCTTCTTCATTCATTAAGGGTTTTGGATAATTATAATTCTCTAAGGGGTAAACAACAGTGCCCACAATTCTGTGAGGGGAAGAGTATGCTTTAAAGATAGAGTGTGTACACACCCCTAGTCCTTCAACTTGTGGGTATGCCAATAAACACTCCACTCGTTGTCACCACCTAGTCCAAAGCCTACAGTCACAGTCCTTGCCCCAAACATCGGCTCCCCCCACTCACCACCCAGGGCTTGTCGCAAAAGTTGTACACAGAATGCAGGGAGTTGACGCTGGGCACTCCTGCATACTGCAGTCCTATCACGATGCCACGATGGTCTCCTCCACGGGCCATGCTGAAGGCGTGCTGACGGACCAGCACAAAGTCGGGCTTCAGGCTCCTAGTAGAAGAAGAAGAAGGAGAAGCGTGATAATGAAGAACAAGGGTGGCCAGGAAAACCACTCTCCCCCCATCCTTGCTCACAAGACCTGCTTCCTAGAGACACCAGGATCCCAGAATCTCGGCTCCCAGGTCTGTAATCTCTAATCTGCTGCATCTCAAAGATGAGACCAGGTGTTCTCTTGGACCATGTGCTTGCTTTCCTTTGACCACTGAAGGAGCCACAGATCCTTTTCCAGGGCTAAATCAACCAGAATGCATCTGCTGAGTCCATACATTGGTGTTGTCTAGTACAATGGGTAGCTCAGATTCTCTTTTATCCTACAGCCCTCCTATCTCCTTTCTGTGGGATGTAATCCACTGGAGCAGTCAAGTACAACATTACTTGTTTTGCTAGAGTGCACATGCAGGGGATGTTGGTCCAGCCAGTCAAACCTCCTGTTACACCTGGCTGGAGCATCCTTCCTTTGCATGTGACCAGTAGGGGGCGTGACCTTTCCAGACCTGGTAAAAGGCCAAGTCACGTAGCTACCTCCCTCCCCTCTTTTTCGTCCTGTCTGCTTCCTGCTTCACCTGGACTGCACTGCTGCTCTCAGCCACCAGTCCCTGGGTTATCTCCCATATGGGGTAAACCTATTTGTACTTATTTGTAACCTCAAGCCGTAAGCCTGCCTTCAAGGATCACAATGTGCTCTGCCTGATCCTGAGTAAACTTATTTTTGTTATTTATGAATAAAGACTGTGGTGTCTTTATTCTTTTAGGAGGGATAAAGGGGGTCTTACCAGGAATAAAAGAACTTAAGAGATTCTAACGAATCTGCAACCAGCTACCTGTTGTGTAAAGGGGGAATGCACTCTGCTATCGTGAGTTAAGAAGGATAATATTAATCAATATATCCTCTCCTGTTACCCACAACATTCCCACAAAGGGTTATTGGCCCCAGTGTTGCGTATTTTTGAAGGATTGCAAAGGATTGAGATCCTAAGCTGAAGAGTATTTTTCTTTGTCTATTTCCTTGTAAGAACATGGTCTATTGCTCCATTGTGTGAGGGAATTAAGCACACCTCCTCCCCTTGGAGTTCACAGTACCTAAGACAATAAAGAGCTGTTTTTACTTTTGAGATTTTTGAGATTTTAATTTTGAAATTTTGGCAAATTTTTGAAATTTTGAATATTTTTGAAATTTTTGATTTTTAAGATGGCTAGTGTGGTTTTTGATGAAGATGCAGGGCCAAGAATGCCTAAGCTGAATGAACATAGTTTTGTTCACTGGAAGCAACATTTGATAGTACTCCTAGAATCAAGAGATCCTAAGCCTAGTGGCTCGAGTGAAGAGGACTTAGCAAAAATTAGATTATGGAAGCTACAAAATAGCAAAGCCAAGACTATTATTTTTGATGGGCTTAAAGATGAACAGTTATCACAGGTTGACTGCAGAGATGATGCGTCTCAAATTTTAAATGATTTAGAGCGCATGTATGTGTGGGATGTGAAACACAAGAGCAGTCAAGTACAACCTTCCTAGAGTGAACATGTTTACACATGGGGAGGAATGTTTGTCCAGCCAGCAGGTAAACTTCCTGTTTCCTTCTGGGCTGGGACAGACTTCCTCTGCATGTGACTAGAGGTGGGTGTGGCCTCACCTGTGCAGGTAACGACAAAAGCACAGGGCAGGGCAGCCATCTCTCTCTCTCTTTCACCACATGCATCGAAGAAACAACATCTACTGAGCCAAAGATGCCCTCTTGGCTTCCAGCCAAGAGAGGACAAAGGGACTGTCTTCTTATAAGATAGATTCCAAGTGTATGTTACTTCATTAAGCTAAGTCTGCCTTCTGGGATCTGATTGTGAACAGAATGTGAGTAAACTCTTTTTATACTTTTGTAAAAGACTGTGTCGTCTCTTATATTTTATGAGGGAATAAGGGGAAATACCAGAACAGTTATTATAGAGGCTTTAGCGAGCCTGAGCAAATGTAGCCGCTGCAAATTTAAAAGAAGGGAATGTTACTCTGCTGAAATTGTGGAACTTGTTAACACAAGTTGGATAAGGATATAATCAGACAATATATCCTTTCCTGCATCCCTGAACATTCCCACAGTATGGAGATACCATGAAATGCTCTCATAGGATGCTGTTGCGTGAGCTTTTTAAACTGAGGATGAACCATAAAGTAGAATTCTCAAAGCATATAAATGAGTTTACTGCTATAGTACAAAAGATTCAACTCACGGAAAGTCCACTCAGTGAAGATATGAAGACTTCTTTCTTCCTAGCATCATTAGGATCCAAATTTGATGTATTTGCTTGATTATAAAGAAGGTTTAACTTTTAAAGATCTGACTGCATATTTGAGACAGGAATGCAAAGCAAGAGCAGAGTCTCCAGCCCAAAATGTGAGGAGTAAAGACACTAATTATGCGTCTAGACAGTTTACAAAGGCCAAAGACACACCCAAGAAGGTTGTGTGCTTTAAGTATAACAAAGAGGGCCACATTGCAAGGAACTGTAAGGATCCAAACAAGAAAAAGAAAAGAAGGGGAAATGTGAACACACCTTACTTTTGCAAGAAAAGAGTTTAACTGTTCAGAGACGTGAAAATAAATCAAACAAATGGATTGTTGACTCTGGAGCTTCTTCACATTTTGGATATAAAAAGGACTATTTTACTGATATTAATGATATTGTTAAATCTCATATTGAAATTGCAGGTGGCAATGTTGTTAAACCTCAAGGTGCAGGTTCTGTAACTTTGAAATGTAATATAAACAATGAAGCAATGGATACTATTGTGGAAAAAGTTTTATATGTTCCACAACTGAGTTTTAATATGCTTAGTGTGTCCAGTTTGGACAGAAAATGTTTTCAAATAACGTTTGGTAATGGAGAATGTAATGTGACTAAGAATGGTGAAGTGTTTGTTCAAGCCAAGCTAATAAATGGCATATATGAGGTTGATCTTTCAGAGCAGCAGTCTGCTAAGGTGGCACACTCAAACCATAAGCATGAGGCGGACCTGGAGCTGTGGCACAGAAGACTTGGACACAGAGACACCAACACCATTCTGGATCTACAGAAAAGAGCTTGCAAGGGGACTGCACGTAACAAAGAGCAACACAACACCAACAAAATGTATAAGTTAAACTTTCATTTCCTCCTTGGACCGAGCAGAGAAGCAACAAAGTGCTTGACATAGTCTACAGTGACTTATGTGGACCTATGAATGTTCCCTCAGTGGGGAAGAACAGGTACATACCAATATTTCTTGATGATTTTTCAAAGTATTGTGCAGTGTTATTTCAGCAAGGAAAAGAGTGAAATGCTGGAAATGTTCAAGGACTAACTTGCAATGGTGAAGAACAAATTCCAGAGAGCTCCAGCTATGCTAATGACTGACAATGGGGGTGAATATTGTTCAAATGACATGCAATCTCTCCTAGCGAAGGAAGGAATTGAGCATGTAACCACAATTCCTGATGCGCCACAACAGAACTCCATAGCTGAGAGGAAGTTCAGGTCCATCCCTACCTCATAAGTTGTGGGCAGACGCAGTATGCACTGCAGTGTATCTCCAGAACAGATTGCCAACAAAGGGAGCTGAATGCACATCTTTTGAACTTTGTCATTGCAGAACTCCCAACCTTAAATAAGTTGGAGTTCTTGTTATTAAATGTACCAAGAAAAAAGCACACCAAGAACTCAGGCCAATGCAAGTTTCAATAGTGGGAGTGGTCCCTCAATCAATAGTCAATAGTAACAAAAACTAATCAATTCAAAAGTATGTATTCTGACAAGGATTACAAACTCAAATAGAGATTACAAACTCTAACAGAGATTACAAACTCAAACTCATAAAGATATGTATAACACAATAATTCGTGACAAAGATTTTCTCTTTTTCACTCGACAATAATGTTGATCCTTATAATTTATCAGCTTGCAGATGGAGACTCAGTTTCAAGCATAGAGCAGAAGTCAGAAGTCAATGATGGATCAGAAACCAGGACAGGCCCTGTTTTGATGTATTCACCTTCATCAGCTAATTTTTAAAGGGTCGTGTAAGTTTGAAGACTTTCGGATAAATATATCCTGTTATTTACATTTCTCAGGGATAACAAGTACGTGTGGGTAGATCAAGGTGTGCGCACAGAAAAGCTCAAGATACACGTTTGCCTCATCTTAGAAAGGAAAGCGCTTCCAAGGGAGCTTCCAGATGACCTGATTTTTAAGCATTCATCCTGCTTTGTTTACATGGAGATTAGGTGACATTCGATATTTAAGGAGCATTCATCCTGAATTGTTTGCAGGGAGATTAGATGACAGACCACCAACCTTTCTTTGCTGTGTGGGATTGGATCCCACTCTAAAATACCCACTGTGTGGAAGTGCCTTGAAACATGAGCAGAGAAAACACTTGGGCACCTGAGTCAAAACAAGCTGAATGAGCCACCGAAGGACAGCCACTGCCACTTACCTGACTACCTTAACACCGTTGCGTATAACCTCCATGTCAACGGAGAAGTTGCCATTGGCATGAGCCACCAGGTTGAGATCGGAGAACTCTGCCTGCAGGAGACACCCACAAGACCTAGTCATGGACCAAGCAGCACACACAGTACAGTCAGCAGCCCCCCTCCTGACTCCAGGGATACACAGAAAGCCTGAAGGACATAGGCAGGACAGTTCGCAGGTTCGCAACTGGAATGGTTTCGTGTGCTGACTTAAGTCCCAGGAAACCCCGTGGTCCTTTCAAGAATCTCTTCAGTAACAAGATCAGGAATTTTATTTATTTATAAATGTTTTTAGACTGCCTTTCTGTGTACACTCATCCAGTGCAGCTACAACAGAATATATAGAACCAAAAAGCTACCACACCCCTCACTCAAGGGCATTGGACTGGTAGTAGCAGAGCCATCTTTCCCATAGGGCTTAGTGAATCATAGAATCATAGAGTTGGAAGAGACCACAAGGGCCATCGAGTCCAACCCCCTGCCAAGCAGGAAACACCATCAGAGCACTCCTGACATATGGTTGTCAAGCCTCTGTTTAAAGACCTCCAAAGAAGGAGACTCCACCACACTCCTTGGCAGCAAATTCCACTGTCAAACAGCTCTTACTGTCAGGAAGTTCTTCCTAATGTTGAGGTGGAATCTTCTTTCTTGTAGTTTGGATCCATTGCTCCGTGTCCGCTTCTCTGGAGCAGCAGAAAACAACCTTTCTCCCTCCTCTATGTGACATCCTTTTATATATTTGAACATGGCTATCCTATCACCCCTTAATCTCCTCTTCTCCAGGCTAAACATGCCCAGCTGTCGCGCCAGGGCACCAGCCTCTCAGGGGTGCCCCAGGAAGTGGGGGAGCTGCGTGGCTTTGCCAGCAGCCTCCGCTTTCCCTGCACACCCACCAGCTGCCATATTGCTCTCCCGCAGTGGCATGGGGGAGAGTTGCCCTCCCGATGGCTGGCAGTGTGCAGCTTCGCCATCCCCCCACTATCTGTGGTAATTTGGGGGCGCTGGGCGGATATTTGCACCCCTGTGCCGCATCTGCTAAAGACTGCCCTGGGTATTAGCTAAAAAAAAATCATGCCTGGTCCAAGGGGGAAAAGCACAATTTCACATCGCAGCAGTTAAAAGAAGCCCATTTTTAACCAGGGCTTGAGCTGATTGACATCCAACACCTTTTAAAAATATGTTGGGGAGGGGGAGGTTAATCGTGTTGTTTTTGTTTTTATTAAGTATTGTTTTTATATTGTGATTTTATGTTGTAACTGCTCTGAAATGTGTAGGTATAGGGTGGTGTGCAAATTTAAGAATAAATAAAATTAATGAATAAATGGTGTATGTGCATTTTGCACAAGGTCGGTAGACTTTGGGGTTCAAGTAAAAGAAGAAAGCAGCTCCAACCAGCCTGAATTCTGCCTCCCCCATTGCAAGGCTCATTCTCAGTTCACATGGGTAAACCAAGACCTAAGCAACTGCCCTGCATGAACTCAGTGTGCACCCAAAACACAACAGACTTCACCATAATGCACAGAGGTTCCTCCAACGACAAACCAACAATTAAATGCCAATGCATCTATCAATCTTCAGAAGAGATTCAGAATATGATGCACAATTGTTTGAGCTGAACACTTTTCTTATAGGGGTTTACATAGGTCTGCTTTCCGTTGCATGTTGTGTGTTTTTGTATGTGTGAGTCTGCTTGTTTGTTTCCCCTTTGAAATAAAAAAGGGGGAGACAAAGTGATGTTAAAAGGATTCTCAGAAAGTCAGACTTCTTGGAAACTGCTGACCTAAACCATCAGCCCTGAGTTTCACTTCCTGCTCTCACTGTGGTTGTTGCGTCCATTATTTCTGAGTCAGGCAGAGGTTTGCGCCAGTGGCTCAGCCACAAAAGCCGCCTCAGGACCTTGCCCTGGGCTCAGCCTCAGGCCGGGGGGAAGAGAGTGAACAATGAACGGCAACTTTGCCTCCCCCAGGGAGGACAGAGAGGGTCAGGATGAGGCCGGAGCTTCTTTCATAAACGGGCAGCGTGCTCACCTATTGCCAACTGCAGACACACATGGTGTCTTCAGGGTTTAAAATGTGAGCTTCCTCAGTGACAAATTTTGGCGATGTGCATGCAGGCGACTAGTGTCAGTCTGGGGTCACAAACAGGACCACAGGTTTGAGGAGTTCTGCTCTTAGATCAGTTGGCCCCATAGGGAGCTGGGGGAGGCCCAAATTTGATGTGCATTGCCATTCAAACGATGTGTGTGCACATCACGTGAACAATTATGCAGGGTGGGGCTTAGCTGGCCCACCCATATATTATTCACGTTGGCACCCTTGGTTGGCCCCAAGGAGTGCTCTGGATCAGCTGCAACAAAAAGAGGCAGCTATTTATATTTCCCACAATGCCACAAAAAGATGCTACCTTGAGGACATTGTGGAGATTTAAAATGGCAGCTCCCGGACCGAGCCACCCATCACTGACTGAAGCACCAGCTGGGGTGGGGCTGGTAGAGCAGGGGCCAGCAGTGGACCAGGCTGCAAGTCGAGGGCTGCCATAGGTACCCAAAGGTGGGTGCTGCTTCTGGGTCTAGACAAATGTGCTTTCCAGCTCAAGATGGAGGAGCTGCAACCACAGCAAACAGAATACACCATCCTGTTAGCCAAGCCCAGGCCAATGATAGCAAGCAAAGCCAAGTCAACCGCTCCACTCCGCCTGCTGGTCCCAGGTGCCAAGATGGTGCACATCCCTATTCTTGTCAGAGCCTGTGGAGAGTGTGGACTGTGGAGAGTCCTCACTAGGTTCCAGCCTGAGCCCATAAGGCTTTTGGCTCTTGAGTCCCCCACACTGGACACTGGCTTACCTGCTCAACTTTGATGTCCATCTCCCCATGAAGCTTCTTCCCCTTGAAATATTTTGCCCTAGAAGAAGAAAGGCATTGTTAATGTCTCTGGCAGTAAGCAAAGCGCCACATTTAGCTCAGCTGGTAGAGCAGGAGACTCTTCCACTGTAAGAGCTGTTCGACAGTGGAATTTTCTGCCAAGGAGTGTGGTGGAGTCTCCTTCTTTGGAGGTCTTTAAGCAGAGGCTTGACAACCATATGTCAGGAGTGCTCTGATGGTGTTTCCTGCTTGGCAGGGGGTTGGACTCGATGGCCCTTGTGGTCTCTTCCAACTCTATGATTCTATGATTCTATGATTCTTAGTCTTGGGGTCGTGGGTTCGAGCCCCACGGGTTGGACTAGACAATCCTCATGGTCCCTTCCAACTCTACGATTCTACAATTCTAATCTTGTCTGCATGACCACACCACAGCCACAGTACAACAGGGCTGGATCCGAGCTAGGCCTATGAAGCCAAAAAGTATCAATCCAATTCAAAGCACAAGACCCACTTCCTCAGAGGTGGGGCCCCTGTGGTCCTCCAGATGCTGCTAGATCCCCAACTCCCATCAGTCAGCATGCCCAATGGTCTGGGATGGCGGAGGCTGGAGACCAAAAGCCTCTGCAGAACCACAGGTTTCTCCCTGCCTTGAACTGGAGGGAACAGAAGTCCTGGGGTGATATGCAATGTGAAGTAGTTCTGTCAGCAAAAGGATTTCTGCAGCACAATGGAAGCCCCGCCCCCTTCACACAGCCTAAATCTAGTCTAGGGGTTCCCTCCAACCCTCTAGAGCGGATCTGGAGTGGATTCAAGGCACACACAGCTGGAAGGGAAGGGGAAATCCTGCTGCCCAGTGGTAATCCTTGTGCTGACAGGACGGCTTAGTACAATCCTGACCCTGGAAACTGAATTTGAGCAAGGATGGAGCATGAATGTGTGTGGCTATCTGCTGTTAAAGAATATTCCAGCCTTGGTCAGCATCTTTTCTGAGCACAATCATTCCTGACTGCTCTGCGCTGCTTTATTGTATTACTGACATTTAAAACAGAATCCCTCTATCTTCGAGATCGGTTCCCACCCAAAGAAACCTATGGAACACGGCCTCCATCTCTTCCAAAACGCATCAAGGCCTTCCAGAATGTAAAGATGGTTGGGTGCACTAAATGTGCAGTACTTTGTCATCTGTCACCAAGGAACCAGACATATTCTCTCTCAGCAGCGCTCCTGGCATGGGGACGTCACATCATCAAAGCTCAGTATTTTGTTCCTGGGGAAATGAAACTCTCCCTTCCTCCTCCCACTTCCCATATTGCTGTTGTTTATTTATTTATTTATTGAACTGCTGTGTAAAGTGTGGTTGTTCAAATTATGGCAGGCTCCAATCTCCCCACAACTCTTGGTATTTTGCTGCCTGCAGCAGAAAATCAAAATTTGACACTCTAGGTACATATATTTTTAGCACCCACTCTATTCATGGTTATAATTTGTTTCAAGCTGATTCTAATAATGTGTTCTAATACTGCTGCGACCTGGGGCCTGCTGGTGGATAATAAATCTAATGATAATAATAGTAATTTTAAAATGGTGGTCCGCCTTCCACTCATTAACATGGGGCTCATGAATCCACCAGGACATTCACACAAGCCGCACAGAAGCGCACGGGAGCCACACAACCCTTCTGTTTCCAAAAGCAGTCAGCGATGCCACTGGACTTTCACAAACAATGCATGAAACGGAGGTTCATTCCCTGATTGACTGCCTGTGTACATGGAAGGTCCATGCAGCCATCAAGGCAAACAGCCACCGACGGACCTTCCATTGCCACTGTTTCCAGAGTTAGCCATCACAAATGTCTTTAATATGGAATCACGAAGAGCCACAAAGGCTATTTTCTACCCTCACAGTCAGAGCCAGTCCACCGCTGTATACCAGCTGCTGAGAATTGAATGTCAGGAGAGAACTCAAGTCCTGCTGGCAGGCTTCGCACAGGCACCTGGCTGGCCACTGTGAGAAGAGGGTGCTGGACTCTCATCATGTTCTCATCAGCTTGGGTGACTAAATCCACTGGTGGTGTCCTTTAGTCCACAAAAACTGATGCTATAATGGGTTGGTCTTTAAGGTACCACAGGACTTTGCAGTGTGCATATTTTAAAACCAGGACTCTGTTAAATCTTATTTTACAGCCACCTAACCTAGAGGCTTGTGGTAGTGAAATCCACCACACCTAGTGGCAATGAATTCCACAGGCTAGTTACATGTTCTGTGAAGCAATATTTCCTTTTGTCTCTCCTGGCCTCCTATTGAGGCCATCAATGGCTTCAAAAGCAGTTAACCCACAGGCACAATCACAGCTGGTCAGGGCCAGGGCTTGGGGTCCATTTTGCAGCCCATTCTAATCCCCTTTCAGCAAATCCAGTTCTTGTAATATGGCGCCCCCTCGTGCGCACACACAAACATTCAGGTTCGTGGGAAATGGGCAGGGTAGGCAGGCAGGGCAGCAAGACCTTTGGAATTCTGCTTCCAGCTCTGAGGGAGTCTAGACACACAGCAGCTAAAAATAAGAAGCTTTCCCCTCCGTTTACAGCTCAGTCTCCTCTCAGCAACCAAACGCCCAGCAGGGACAGGACGGTGCAAACTGAAAGACGCAGCAGCAGCAGCAGCAGCAGCAGCGAGGGAGCCCAGCTGCAGACACACAGCTTAGAAGGGGAAAGCCAGGACCCAGCAGAGGGGCTTGCGCATCGTCCAAGCATAAGCGCACCTGAAAGCATTCCCTGACAATGCTACTGGAACTTGTCATCCCCAGGGATCTTCAGCAACGGTTGTGCAGCTCTGGGTCAGAATGAATGGTCTCCCCACCCTCTGCTCATTCCAGCCCCGCAGACCAACCTTTGCCCACTTGCAGTGGTTTGGCACTGCAGCTGCTCACCAGTCAGCTGCCCATGGCTATGGCAGGTGGGGGGGTTAGCCCCAAATGCCTGGAGGGCACCATGTTGGCAAAGCCTGCCCTAAACCCCATATTTCCAGCACAGTTAGAGGAGAACCTAGGAGTCCCTGACTCCCTCAATTCACCAAGTCGAGCTTTGCCTTCCCAGTTTGGGAATAGGTAGCCCACCAAAACGCCCAGGCATCATTCCTGTCAGAATTGGGCTGAGAATCTCATGACCCTTCTTCCTCTCAAATCATGAGACCAGAGATTCTCAAACTGCCTCCCTTTACAACTAGACTCAGACACCCGGCAGATGATTCTGGGCTGCTTTCTAGGGGACACACTGGGCTCCCTCCCACCCCCCTTTTTTGCAGGGGGAGGCATGTTCCAGTCAGTCCTATTTGACCTCCCTCTTTCTGGCTGAATTCTGCCCCGATAAATGCCCCTTTTTCTGGCTCAGTAACACCCTACTCTGCAATTAGAGCCAGGGACAACCCAGGAGCCACCCCCCTTCCAGATCACAGGGCACTGCTGGAGAAAAAAACCTGCCTGAGCCAACTCTCAAGTGCCCCTGCCCTTCTCCCCCGCCCCGCCCGTAACACCAGGCCCTTTTCTCTTCACAGGGAGAGAGCCGACTCCTGCACCCACAGCACCCTTTGCGCCTTTCTCCCAACTTCCGCACAGGGCAGACCTAGGGGTTGGCTATGCGGGCCCCCACCAAGGGCACAGGCTTGGGGGGGGCATAAAAAACCCTCTCCACTCTGGCTCGGCGTGGCTAGCGGCCTGTGCGCCCCACATCTCCTCGCCAAGGGCGCAAGGGAGCCCAGATATGGCTCTGCTTCCGCGCTGCATGTTTAAAGCTGCGCCACACCATTTTTTAAAAAATGATATTTATTAAAGTTTCAAAGAAAAAATTACATAGGTAAAAAAGAAAAGAAAAAGAAAAGAAATAAAAAAAATACAAAATACAGAAAAAAGATAAAAAACACTTAAAAGAAAAACACATTGATCTTTCCATAACTTACATTTCATTTCCTTACTTCCCTGACTTCCTCACACCTCCCTTTTTTGTATTCCAGTTCTATTAATTAATTCAGCAATTCCTTTCCCTCTTTGTTTTTATCTTAATCCTTTAACTTAACATATTATAACTTTAAATTCTCATCTGTTAACAATCCATTTGTACATACACCTTTATAACATTGTTGCCAAGACCACTTAATTTCATTCTGACATCATTCTAACATTCATTAATTTTGCAGTATTTCTGTAAATAGTCTTTAAATTTCTTCCAATCTTCTTCCACCAACTCTTCTCCCTGGTCTCGGATTCTACCAGCCATTTCCACCAATTCCATATAGTCCATCACCTTCATCTGCCATTCTTCCAGGGTGGGTAGATCTTGCGTCTTCCAGTACTTTGCAATAAGTATTCTTGCTGTTGTTGTGGCATACATAAAGAAAATTCTGTCCTTCTTTGACACCGTTTGGCCGACCATGCCCAGGAGAAAGGCCTCTGGTTTCTTCAAGAAGGTATATTTAAATACCCTTTTCATTTCATTATAAATCATCTCCCAGAAAGCCTTAATCCTTGGGCACATCCACCAAAGGTGAAAGAATGTACCTTCAGTTTCTTTACATTTCCAACATTTATTATTGGGCAAATGATAGATTTTTGCAAGCTTGACTGGTGTCATGTACCACCTGTATATCATTTTCATAATATTCTCTCTTAAGGCATTGCATGCCGTAAACTTCATACCTGTGGTCCATAACTGTTCCCAGTCAGCCATCATTATGTTATGTCCAACATCTTGTGCCCATTTAATCACAGCAGATTTAACCGTTTCATCCCGAGTATTCCATTTCAACAGCAAGTTATACATCTTTGACAAAATCTTCGTTTTGGGTTCTAACAGTTCTGTTTCTAATTTTGATTTTTCCACCTGGAAGCCAATTTTCTTGTCCAAATTATATGCCTCCATTATCTGATAATAATGAAGCCAATCTCGCACTTTATTTTTTAGTTTTTCAAAACTCTGCAGTTTCAATCTGTCTCCCTCTTGTTCCAGAATTTCCCAATATTTTGGCCATTTGGCCTCCATATTGAGCTTTTTCAGAGCTTTCGCTTCCATCGGTGACAGCCACCTTGGGGTTTTATTTTCCAGTAAGTCTTTATATCTTATCCGCAGCGCCACACCATTTCTAAGCAGCCTGGGCTTCCGCCAGAGTGTCCTGGCGACGGTAGTGTTAGAAGCGACGAGAGTGGGGAGACCACCCCACCCTATTCCCCTCAGAGAGTTACAACTCCCGTAGTGCTTTCACAGCCTCTTTGCAGGGAACTCTGACAATTGTTCCCTAGGCTTCTCTGAGTCGTGGGGCAGCGAAGTGAACTATGCCCCGCTCCCCTTCCGGGATCCCCTAGGCGCAAAGGAGCGGCTATTTGGAGGGGGCAGAGAGAGATTACCCCTCTCGACCGGGCTGCGATGTTTCGGCGTGCCCTCCTCCAGTCTCCCATCCCGGACCGTTTTTCTCTCCCCCGCTCCATTCTGTGGCTGGAACATCTCTGAGGCGCCCCCGCAACCTCCTGACTCAGTCGGAGGAGAGAGGGAGGAGAGAGAGAGACGAGGATGCTTCAGCCGTGCGCACCGCGAGAGGAGCTGAGCGCCTAAGCGCTTCCTCTCTGCGGATCCCAAGATCCTGCCTAGCCTATTCCTCCTCCCCTCCCCCCCCCCCCCGCGGTGCGAGACCATCTCCCTCGCGAGCTATTCTGGAGCCCGAGCGGCTGCAGAACTCCCAAGCTAAAGGCCAGCAATCGGTGGAAAGGAACGCCTGGCAGGGCATTTGCAAAGCACACCGCCTTGGAACCACAATGGTCCCTTCTTAGCATCGAACTCTGCACCAAAATCCCTTTCTCTCCCCCGGCCAACGATGGTTGCATCCTAAAACTCAGACTTTTCCGCATCGCAAAACAACCACCACCACCCCAAACTCATCCATACGGAAGCATACACACACGTACGCATTGCAACTAAAGTCTGCGTGTCGAAGAGTGCAGCTGTCTCTGCTAAATAAATCCGCATTCCCTTCCCCGATCTCTCTGCAGCAATGGAAAACTGCGCTTGGGGAGAGAGAACGTGTGAACCTTCGGGAGACTGCAGCCTGCGGTGCTACGGATGCGTGTTTCTTCCGTAGATGCACTTTTCTGTACAAAACGCGACCTCGTCTCCCTTCACGATTTTTCAGTCTACTTATGAATCACTCCCCCCGAAAGCTACTGAAATCTGCCCGACGGAGAGTCTCTTGCTAAAAACTGCAGCGAAAACAGCTAGCAAGGGGACGTGAGCTGTTTTCGCTGCAGTTTTTAGAAAGTTAATGGGCCTCTCAGGAGGGCAGATGGCAACAGCTTTCTGAAAAAGCATTTCACAGGTAGGCTGCAAAATCCTGCACCATTCCAAATCACCTGTTTCCGGACTCCTCAAGAAAACTGCAAAATCCTATGGTAGCCTGCACTGCATTCCTGACGCCTTCAATTTATGCAAAGCCCTGCATTGAAATTTTGGGTTTACCCTCCAGGAGGCAGGACCCTGTTCTTCTGCTGCAGGATGCAAGCCCTGCTGGATAGGATGCTATTTACTTACAGAACATAGCAGACTGCTTTGTTACACAGTGCTGCATCTTCTGCGCAGCAGTCACCTTGCAAACACGCATATCATCTGCATTGCAACATGGCCAGCTTCTGCTGCATGACTGCAACATGTTCTTACAGGCTCCTATTCTGTATTATCCAACTCAAACCCTCAAAAGCCCCCAAAATGTGTACAGCTCAGTTGGTAGATTCTTAATCTCAGGGTCATGTGGTCAAGCTGCACATTGGGCAAAAAGATTCCTGCATTGCAGGGGGTACCTTCCAATTCTACAATTCCATGATTGTACAGTGGTACCTCGGGTTAAGAACTTAATTCGTTCCGGAGGTCCGTTCTTCACCTGAAACTGTTCTTAACTTGAAGCACCACTTTAGCTAACGGGGCCTCCTGCTGCCGCCACTGCGTGATTTCTGTTCTCATCCTGAAGCAAAGTTCTTAACCCGAGGTACTATTTCTGGGTTAGCGGAGTGTATAACCTGAAGCGTCTGTAACCTGAAGGACCACTGTATGCTGCTTGGGTTACAGCCATTCCATTGCACACTGCCTCTAACTCAAGTTGTGTGGATGGAGTCTGTTCTGATGCCTGACAAACAACACAGCAACATTTGCCTGCTAAATGTGCATGGAAAACTACACTGGAACATGCTTACTAGTTGCCTAGAGGTGAGCGGACTTTTCACCCCAAGGGCCACATTTTCTTCTGGGAGCCACATTCCATTCTGGGAGGCAAAAGTTGGAAGAGAAGGTCATGTGAATTTTACCTTTGTACAGTAGGCTGGTTTCTACCCACACATCTTTCTGTCCTCCCACAGGGCAAGCAAAATGCATGATCAGACTTCCAAGGATCTATTCCAGGCAGGCAAAGCCATTAAAGAAGGAGGGAAAGCAGGACCAGTCCCAAGGGCCAAGTGCAGACAACACCCATGTAGCCCTAGTCTTCCAATGAATGCCCACTTCAGTTTTCAAAAAAAATGGTTTGTCAGGCTGAGCGTTTCTGAACATGTGCAGAGTGTAGCCACACATGCACATATCACTGAAAGGAACAAAGTGGGCTTCTTTAAGAAGAAGATGTAAGGGCACTTTAAAATTAACTGCTTTTAATAATCTTTAAAAACCTTTTGAAGATGGTTCAGAAACTTCAGCTGGTGCAGAATTTGGTGGCCAGGTTGCCCACTGGGGGAAGATGGTTAGAGCATATCTATACATCACCAATCCTAGCCTGACTGCACTGGCTGCCAAGTAGTTTCTGGGTCCAATTCAAAGTGCTGGTTTTGACCTATAAAGCCCTAAACGGCTCAGGACTGCAATACCTCAAGGACCGCCTCTCCCCATATGAACTGACCCAGACCCTGAGATCATCCTCTGAGGCCCTTCTTCCTGCACCTCCTCCACAAGAGGAGCAACATGAGAAGGGGCCTTTTCTGCGGTGGCCCCCATTTGTGGAATGTTCTCCCCAGGGAGGTTCAGCTGACGTCTTCATTATGTACCTTTAGGAGCCAGATGAAAATATTCCTCTTCAACCAGGCCTTTGGCTGATTAATATCTTAAAGGTAAAGGGACCCCTGACCATTAGGTCCAGTCGTGGATGACTCTGGGGTTGCGGCGCTCATCTCGCTTTACTGGCTGAGGGAGCCGGCGTACAGCTTCTGGGTCATGTGGCCAGCAGGACTAAGCTGCTTCTGGAGAACCAAAGTAGCGCACGGAAACACCATTTACCTTCCCGCCAGAGCGGTACCTATTTATCTACTTGCATTTTGACATGCTTTCGAACTGCTAGGTTGGCAGGAGCAGGGACCGAGCAACGGGAGCTCACCCCGTCGCGGGGATTTGAACCGCCGACCTTCTGATCGGCAAGCCCTAGGCTCTGTGGCTTAACCCACAGCGCCACCCGCGTCCCATCGATTAATATCTTATACCTTTTTAAAATGTGTTTGTGAGGGTGTGGTGAAGGGTTTTTTTGGTTTGGGGGGTTGTTCTTGTTTTTATTATGTAATTTGTGGTTTTATATTGCATTTTTATGTTGTGATCTATGGGTGAAGGGTGGTTTAAAAATAAATAAATATTTCTCATGTATCACCTTAAGATGGTTGTTTAAAAGGCAATGATGATGATCACAATAGTACAAATGAAAATAGGAAAACAGTGAAAATGCTCACCACACCTTCTCCAGCCTTCTGCTTTGTTCTTTCCCTCCCTGGCTTGTTATACACCTGTTCCAACAGATGTTCACAAAGCAAGAATTTCTGGTTGCGCCTGTAAAATTCATTTTAGCTAACAGCTCCTAGTTCTCTGATAAGAAAATTTATTTCTTACTGCAGGGCACTGCATTCTACACTGCTAACAAGCAGCACTGCTTATCATGAAATAGTCATTGGATGCACATCTTGCTCCTTGCAATTCTGCAGCAAAATCAGAGGAGGAATAAGACTGCAAAGCAACTCTCTCAGCATCTACCATGATAGAGTTTTACTGCACAAAACCTGATAATATAGCTGCCTTTTGCTTCTGACTTGCGCTTGCTAAAACCATTGCCCTCTGCAATGCACCACATTGTCCCTGCAGTCTTGTACGGGTACTCAAATCCACCGTGCTAGCACTGATCTGCTTTGCCGTAGACTGGACCTTGTCTCTGCATTGCTGCAAACCAGATTTCCTCTCTGCTCTGCTGCACCTTGGTGTGCCTGCTGCCCACACAACGGAGGAGCACATCTCGGTGCTCCACTAATTCCCCACATCCTGGCCAGAAATCCATCCCATCCAGGAAGGAGATGGTGCATTTAGACATATAGATAGACGGGTGTCCTCTTGAGGTGAAGCATCTGTTACCCAAACTTACAAATCTGAGGAAGCTTCTTTTTGCAGAGGAACTGCCCCCCACATCAACAGGACTAGTGTCACATTGAGAGCATGCAGTCAGAGCACATGGCTTCCCCCAAAGCAGGGAAGTGTAGTTTACCCCTCACAGAGCTACAATTCCCAGCTCCCCTTGGCACATTACATTTCCCAGTATTTTGTGGGGAAGAAGCCAAGTGCTATGTGACTGTCTGCTGGGTCTCAGGGGTGGATCTGAACCTGCAGATTCAAATCTTCTTCTCAGGCTCTCCAAGGGAAGGAGGAAAGCAGCAGAGAGAGGGGGGCCAGAATCGAGGGGACGTGGCATTTTTTGCTTGGCTGGAGAGCTTTCGTTTATTTGCTCTATGCCCATCAGTTTCCACACCTGAAGCTCCAGGTACAACCTGAACTGCCAGGACCACCCTTTCATTTCCAGGCTCTGCCCACTGAGCCCCAAAACACCTGGCGACTCCAGGTGGAACACATTGGCAAAGCACAACCTCCACAACACTTCACACCTGCAGAATCAAGTGGTGCATTTCCAGGACTGCAGCACTTCAAGATACAGATGGGGTCAAATGTCTGCATGATCTCTCCCTGGGTGAACCTCCCTGCACATGGAAAACCACCCTCTTATAACTGTTCAGTTTAACCCCTGCAGAGAGCCTGGTTTCTTTTAACAGGGGTGCATTCAAAAGACACACACACACACACACACACACACACAACCCAGCTGCAGTGTAATGTGGTACAGTCCAGAAAAAGTTTTTACCATGTAGTTCTGCTTAATTGAATGGGTTGCCTTTGAAGAAGAACTCTCCTGAAATACAGAGCACCACCTCTCTGAATTGTCCAAGCCCCACCTCTAAATATAACAATGTTCTGTGATGCTTTATCTGTGTGACAACTGCAAGCAACAATCCCATGCAATGAAACAAGATGTTGTAGCCTACCCTTGTCCATCTTCATTACATTTTCTCCCTTCAGCAAAGACGTCAAGACAGTCACTATAACATTTTTTTCAATATGCTGTCTCAACTGGAGCTGCCAGCTTTTCAAACTGCCACGGTAATTACACAGTCAAAGAGCAGCTTAACGTGAGGCATTAGCCAGCAGTGATGTTTAGCTCCATGTTATGAATTGCAAGGCCTACCATTTCCTCCGGATCAATCTGCTTTTAAAGGCAGAGAAGCAGGTCAGGTCAGTTGGCAACCCTACCCTCTAACCTAGACTCCATTATCAAATTGCAATCCATTCTCCTGCTCTAAAGAGTCATAGAATAGAATCATAGAGTTGGAAGAGACCACAAGGGCCATTGAGTCCAACCCCCTGCCAAGCAGGAAACACCATCAGAGCACTCCTGACATATGGTTGTCAAGCCTCTGCTTAAAGACCTCCAAAGAAGGAGACTCCACCACACTCCTTGGCAGCAAATTCCACTGTCAAACAGCTCTTACTGTCAGGAAGTTCTTCCTAATGTTGAGGTGGAATCTTCTTTCTTGTAGTTTGGATCCATTGCTCCGTGTCCGCTTCTCTGGAGCAGCAGAAAACAACCTTTCTCCCTCCTCTATGTGACATCCTTTTCTATATTGGAACATGGCTATCATATCACCCCTTAACCTCCTCTTCTCCAGGCTAAACATGCCCAGCTCCCTTAGCCGTTCCTCATAAGGCATCGTTTCCAGGCCTTTGACCATTTTGGTTGCCCTCCTCTGGACACGTTCCAGTTTGTCAGTGTCCTTCTTGAACTGTGGTGCCCAGAACTGGACACAGTACTCCAGGTGAGGTCTGACCAGAGCAGAATACAGTGGCACTATTACTTCCCTTGATCTAGATGCCATACTCCTATTGATGCAGCCCAGAATTGCATTGGCTTTTTTAGCTGCTGCGTCACACTGTTGGCTCATGTCAAGTTTGTGGTCAACCAAGACTCCTAGATCCTTTTCACATGTACTGCTCTCAAGCCAGGTGTCACCCATCTTGTATTTGTGCCTCTCATTTTTTTGCCCAAGTGCAATACTTTACATTTCTCCCTGTTAAAATTCATCTTGTTTGTTTTGGCCCAGTTCTCTAATCTGTCAAGGTCGTTTTGAAGTGTGATCCTGTCCTCTGGGGTGTTAGCCACCCCTTCCAATTTGGTGTCATCTGCAAATTTGATCAGGATGCCCTTGAGTCCATCATCCAAGTCGTTGATAAAGATGTTGAATAAGACCGGGCCCAAGACAGAACCCTGTGGCACCCCACTAGTCACTCTTCTCCAGGATGAAGAGGAACCATTGATGAGCAACCTTTGGGTTCGGTCAGTCAGCCAGTTACAAATCCACTGAGTGGTAGCATAGTCAAGACCACATTTTACCAGCTTCTTTACAAGAATATCATGGGGCACCTTGTCAAATGCCTTCCTGAAATCAAGGTAGGCTACATCCACTGCGTTCCCTTCATCTACCAGGCTTGTAATTCTGTCAAAAAACGAGATCAGGTTAGTCTGACATGACTTATTTTTCAGAAATCCATGCTGACTATTGGTGATCACAGCATTCCTTTCTAGGTGCTCACAGACTGTTTGCTTAATGATCTGCTCCAGAATCTTCCCTGGTATTGATGTCAGACTGACTGGGCGGTAATTATTTGGGTCCTCTCTTTTCCCCTTTTTGAAAATAGGGACAACATTTGCCCTCCTCCAGTCTGCCGGGACTTCGCCTGTTCTCCAGGAATTCTCAAAGATGACTGCCAGTGGTTCTGAGATCACATCTGCCACTTCTTTTAATACTCTTGGATGCAGTTCATCTGGCCCTGGAGACTTGAATACATCTAAACTAGCCAAGTATTCTTGTACTATCTCCTTAGTTATTTTGGGCTGTGTTTCCTCTGCTGAATCATTTGCTCCGAATTCTTCAGGTCGGGCATTGTTTTCTTTATCGGAGAAGACTGAGGCAAAGAAGGCATTGAGGAGTTCAGCCCTTTCTGTGTCCCCTGTTTGCATTTCACCATCTTCTCCTCTGAGTGACCCCACTGTTTCTTTGTTCTTCCTTTTGCTACGAACATACCCATAAAAGCCTTTTTTGTTGCTTTTAACCTCTCTAGCAAACCTGAGTTCATTCTGTGCTTTAGCTTTTCTGACTTTGTGTCTACACGTGCTGGCTATTTGTTTGAATTCCTCTTTGGTGGTTTCCCCCCCCTTTCCATTTTTTGTACACATCCTTTTTTAATCTTAATTCAGTTAAAAGTTCTTTAGATAGCCACCCTGGCTTTTTAGGCACCTTCCATGTTTCCGTCTCATTGGTATTGCCTGACGTTGTGCTTTTACTATCTCCCTCTTAACAAACTCCCAGCCATCATGAACTCCCTTTCCTTTTAGTATTACTGTCCATGGGGACTCACCCAGCACTTCCCTAAGTTTTATGAAGTCGGCTTTCTTAAAGTCAAGAAATTGAGTCCTAGTATGCTTGGCTGCTCCTTTCCGCTGTATAGGAAACTTCAGAAGAGCATGATCACTCCCGCCTAATGATCCTTCCACTTCACAGTCTCCCTCTAGGGCGAAACTGTAACCAACTCCTGGGAGCTGGAAGCCACCCTTCTTCAGAAGAGCATGATCACTCGCGCCTTCCACTTCTACCCCACTAACCAGGTCATCAACATTGGTTAGGACCAGATCTAAAATGGCTGTTCCGCTTGTTGCTTCTCCCACTTTCTGGACAATGAAGTTGTCTGCAAGGCCAGTGAGGAATCTGTTTGACCTTATGCTCTTGGCTGAGTTTGACATCCAACAAATATCCGGGTAATTGAAGTCCCCCATTACTACTATCTCCCTTCCTTTTGCATGCTTGGCCATCTGTTCCAGGAAGGCATCATCTATGTCCTCCGTTTGACTTGGGGATCTATAGTAAACTCCCACAATGAGGTCACTGTTATTCTTCTCTCCCTTAATTTTGACCCAAATGCTCTCACTTTGGCTTTGAGGTTCTAAATCTTGGATCTCTTCACAGGTATACACATCCCTGACATATAACGCCACTCCTCCTCCTTTCTTGTCTGGTCTGTTTCTCTGAAATAGATTGTATCCCTCCATTGTTACATTCCAATTGTGGGACTTATCCCACCAGCTTTCAGTGATGCCTATTATGTCATATTTAGTTTGCTGTACCAAGAGCTCAAGCTCATCTTGTTTATTTCCCATGCTTTGCGCATTAGTGTACAGAAATTGAAGTCCATTAATCATTCCCCCGTGACTCTTATTTAAGGATTTTTTTCCTCCCACCACTAGGTCTGCGTGCTGTTTGCTCCATTTGGTCTATGACATTTGGATGATCATCTTCATCAATTGATAGACCCCTACCTTCAGGAGCACTGTCAGTTTAAAGCCCTCCTGATGAGGTTTCTGAGATTTTTGGCAAAAACATTCCTTCCAACCGTTGTGAGGTGCAGCCCATCGCTTGCCAGAAGTCCATCTTCAAGAAACTGCAGTCCGTGATCTAAGAATCCAAACCGTTCCTGTTTACACCATTTGCGAAGCCAGCTGTTCACTTCCACTATTTTTCCCTCTCTCCCTGGGCCACGTCGTTCAACTGGGAGGACAGATGAGATGACAATTTGTGCATTTAATTGCTTCAATTTCCTGCCCAGAGCCTCGTAGTCTCTTTTGATCTTCTGGAGGCTATTGCTTGCAGTGTCATTGGTTCCCACATGAACCAAGAGGAAGGGGTATTTGTCAGTGGGTTTTATGATTCCTTGCAGTCGTTCAGTTACATCTTGGATCTTAGCCCCGGGGGGCAGCACACTTCCCGAGACATCTTGTCAGGCCCACAGATCACTGCTTCTGTTCCCCTCAGTAGGGAATCCCCTATCACCACTACACGCCTCCTCTTAGGTTTGGTCGGGGTTCTTCCGTGAGCTGTCCGTTCCAAGGTCGCCTGCACATTCCCTGAGGACTGACTTTGCTGCTCGTCTTCATATACCTGATCGACTGTAATGAGGAGAGATCCTCAAATGGAGTCTGCTCTTCGTCTTCCATGCTAGGGAGAGGACCTCAAAGCGATTGTGTATTTCTAAACAATCAGAGGGAACCCTGGGCCTCCTACTTCTTTGAGTCACGTTTCTCCATATATCTGGCTCCTGTGTTGGTGAACTAGCCTCCTTCTCAGGGGAGTCCCCTGTCTCCTCCTTGGTGGAGACGGTGTGCTCTGTTGCTTCCAAGAAGAGCTCCAGCTCTCTAATTCTTTGGAGCGTAGCTACACGTTCCTCCAGTTGCTGGACTTTGTCTTTTAAGAGGGCAATCAACATGCAATTGCTGCAGGTAAAGCTGCCTGCAACCTTTGGCAAGATGGCAAACATTGCGCAGGAACCGCAGGCAACTGCAGCTGTTCCCTCCCCCTCCATCTTGAGAACGTGTCGTTGGGGGTGGCTACAGCGGTCCTCCATCATAAAAAGCGTGAAGACAGGACAAATAACTCCCCCCACCAAAAAACCTAGGTCTCCCCCAACAAACGTTTGAGACTAGCTCCCCTAAATCTAAAAGTCTTCACTGCGGGTAGTTTTATACCTTCTAACACATTATGGAAGCATTAGGCACCACCCTCAGGGAGAAGACAGCACATCAACACCTCCTGGATTGCCACATGCTGCCTCCTCTTATGTCACCATGCCTCACAAGTAACATTCTCTTCAGTTCACATCTACAGCCACATTTTGCTGCATTTTACTGTCTTCAGAGAAGGGAGACTAGCAGAGACTCTCCTGCAGATACAGTAGGGAGGACAGGGCTTTCCAAAATTTCTAATAATTGTGCAGAAGAGGAAATTTCAGGAGGTGTTAAAGATGCAGGAGCTCTGTCCTCTCTGGCAACTGGCAACCCTAGCATAGAGCAGTGCTGCTGATCAGAGCTTTACCCTGGATTCAAAACTGGCACCTGTTTAAATGCCCCAGCTCACACCTGAAACATAAGGAACAATAATAAAAGTACCTCTGAGCATGTGCAGAGTACATTTCCCTCCACACCAAATATCACCCATCTGCGAAATTGTCTGTTTTTGGAATTAGAATGAACATATTCCATGCTGGAAGATGTGACACTGTACTTAATAGAAATTGAGTGTTGTGTCAGTGTTTGGCTGCCACATGCACTATCATTCAAAGCCTGACTCTAACGTGAAAATGCCCTCTTCACTTTTTGAGAAAAAGCACACATATTCACCCATATTACACTGCAAGAAGCTCCCCATCCTGCAAAATTGGTTAGGGAGGGGGCTTATTTGCCTATAAGAACTCTGTGATAGACAGAAGTGCAACAGGTATGTTGCCACAAGAACAGCTTTTCCTCTACTGGAAAAGGTTTTGCCTGCTGAATTTCTTCCTGTCACACCTGTTAAAGACAGATTATCCCTTCCAGGAAAAGGCAGAGGTGCTACTTTAGGTGCCAAGATAGTACCCCTTAGAACAGGCATTCCCAAACTTGGCCCTCCAGACGTTTTGGGACTACAACTCCCATCATCCCTAGCTGTGATGGGATGATGAGCTGCTTGTGCGTAAAATCGTATCCCCTCAGAGTTTGTTCAAGTCCACAAACCTCTGTCTGTGACAGAGCCCCTCAGACATGGCTACTCTAGTCACTAGCAGATTCCGACAGTGGTTGCTTTCGTAATCGCTTCCAACATAAAAGCTCCTTAACGGAAACACGTCTTCTGGAATCTCTGCGTGACAGTTTCCGGCGAGGAGTGGGTGTTCTTACAGGAGGTCCTGAAACCTCTCCACTGTTTTCGCTGGAAGTGTCTCTGAGCCATCCCTCCAGCTCAGCTCCTCTCCCCTGCTGGTTCCCTCATCAGCTGCTGCGTCTCTCCCAACCTGTGTGAGCCCTTTCACCTCCCTGTTGGTTTCCTCTTCAGCTGCTGCGTCTCTCCCAACCTGTGTGAGCCCTTTCACCTCCCTTCCGTCCGATGGCAGTTCCCTGACATCCACCTCCCCTCCAGGGCCCCCTTCACCCCCTCTCGCCCCCTCCTCTACGGGCGGTGAGGAGGCAAAACCCGGAATGAACTTCCTTCATCTTCCGATGTCTCGAACACTTCTCTCAACCTGTTGCGGTTCCTGGTCTCGAAGTACACCTCCTCCTCAGAGTCCATCTCCCTTCCCCTTCCGAGTCCGGGAATCCTTCCAACTCCTCCCCTTCATCAGTGGTCCCAAAGTATTCCCTCCGGAACCTCTCCACAGGCTGAGGTTTCCTTGGGAACCTTTGATGGAACGTTTCTATCAATACCTCGTCATTGATATCTTCAGCCATTACCCAAGTGTTTTCTGACTCCGGTTCTCCTTCCCACGCTACCAAATACTCCACCTGATCCCCCTTCCACCTGGCGTCGAGGATTTCTGCCACATGGCTGCTGCATTCTCTTTCTTCTACGACCGGTCCCGAGTGGCCAGCCCTTCTCGTCCCCCTTCGTACGGTGACAGTAACGACCTGTGAAATACTGGGTGCAGTTTCATGTGGTTGGGTAACCGGAGCCTGAAAGCCACTGGGTTGACCTGTTGAATGACCTCAAAGGGACCCAACCTCCTGGGTCTTAATTTCTTACAACCTCCTTTGAGCGGCAGCCCTTGGGTTGACAGCCACACCCTATCTCCCACCCTTATGGTTTCACCTTCCCTTCGGTTCTTGTCTGCCTGCCTCTTGTATTCTTCCTTCGCCCTTTCTAAGTTGAGTTGGAGCTGACGATGGATTGCTTCCATTTCTTCCACAAAATGCTCGGCTGCCGGGACGCTCCATCTCTCCCCTCTCCCCCTGGGAAAGCCCTGGGATGACACCCATAATTAGCCAAGAAGGGCTCATCCCTGTGGACACATTCTCGGCATTGTTGTAGGCAAATTCCGCCAGCGCCAACTTTTCTACCCAGTCATTCTCTCTGTCATTGACATAACACCTCAGGTATTGCTGGAGGACACCGTTTGCTCTTTCCGCCTGCCCGTTGGTTTCAGGGTGCCGGGCAGTCGAAAAATTGACCTCCACCTGCAGTAAGCTCATGAGCTTCCTCCAGAACCTGGAAGTAAATTGTTTTCCTCGGTCTGAGACCACCCTCAATGGCACCCCGTGCAACCTAAAAATGTTTTCTACAAATAACTTCGCTGTCTCTTCCGCCGTGACTGCATGCGAGCAAGCTACAAAGTGGCACATCTTTGTTAGTAGGTCTACCACCACCATGATGGCTGTTTTCCCTTTGGACTTCGGCAGATCAGTCATAAAATCTATCGACACTGCCTCCCAAGGTCGTTCTGGGGTTGGTAAGGGTTCTAATAGCCCCGCCGGCGCCCGCCTTTCCCCTTTGGCTCGCTGGCATTGCTCGCACCCTCTTACATACTCACGTACATCTTCCCTCACCTTAGGCCACCAAAATTCCCTGGTGACCAACCACATGGTTTTGTGTTGTCCAAAATGCCCCGCCGTAGGGCTGTCGTGCAACTGCTTGAGTACCCTCCCCTTAACTCTCCTTCAGGGATATACAGTGCCCCTTTGTAATACAAAGCTCCATTTCTTTCCTCGAAACCCCCTGGTTCCTCTCCATCACCCCTAAGACCTCTGAGCTTATTCTGGGCGTATTCATCATTCTCTGTTTCCTCTACCAGTTCTCTTTGTCCCACCAATGCCGCCCACACACCCAGCGGTCTTCTGGAATGACATGTCTCTCTTCGGGTGCCCCCTCCTCCAAATATTCAGGTTTGCGTGAGAGAGCGTCCGCCCTAATGTTCTCTGGGCCTGGCACGTAACTAATCTCAAAGTTAAATTTGGAGAACTCCTGGGCCCATCTCACTTGCCGTTGGTTGAGCACTCGTGCCGTCCTCCAATACTCTAGGTTCTTGTGGTCAGTGCACACTTGCACCTTATGTTGTGCGCCAATTAGCAGGTGCCTCCATCTCCGGAACGCCTCATGAATGGCTAGTAGTTCTCGGTCATACACCGTGTAGTTCCTCTCGGATTTGTTCAGCTTTCGCGAAAAAAGGCACACGGTCTCCACTCTGACCCCTTCTTGCCTGGCTGCAGAAGCACCGCCCCAATCGCTCTGTCTGATGCGTCAGTTTCCACTCTCATCGGTTTTTGTAAATCCACATGCAGGAGTTGTTGTTCCGAGGCGAAGGCCCCTTTTAGTTCCTCAAATGCTCGCTCCGCCTCCTCAGTCCACACGAACTTCTTCTTACTGCTGAGACAGTCCGTAATGGGCGCCGTCAGGTGGGCAAAGTTTCGGATGAACTTACGATAGAAGTTCCCAAATCCTAGGAACCTCTGCACATCCTTCTTTGTTTTGGGTGTTTTCCATTCCAGCACAGCCTGGACCTTGCCGGGATCCATGGCCAATCCCTTGTCTGACAGGCGATACCCCAGGAATTCCACCTCCTTGGTATGAAACTGACACTTCTCCAGTTTCACCCACAGCTGGTTGGCTTGCAGCCTGCTCAACACTTCTCTGACGTCTCTCACATGCTGCTCCTCATTCTCAGAATACACCAACACGTCGTCTAAAAAGGCCACACAATTCTTGTAAAGCAAAGGCCCCAGGACGTGGTTCATAAACGATTGAAATGTTGCGGAGCCTCCTTGTAGGCCGAAGGGCATAACCAAATATTCAAATGCCCCTAAAGGGGTGAACATAGTGGTTTTCCATTCATCCCCCTTCCTTATTCGTACCAGGTTGTACGCCCCCCTTAGGTCCAGCTTTGTGAAATCTTTCCCTTCCGCACCCTTGTCAAAATGTCGTCAATCCTGGGCATAGGGAAGGCTACTGGTTCTGACACTGCATTTAAGGCCCTGAAGTCACACACCAGCCTCGGCTTGTTCGTGTTTTTCTTATCCACAAAAACACTGGGCTGCCCCCACCGCCCTGGACTCTCTGATGAACCCTCTCTTCAGGTTCTTGTCAATGAACTCTCTTAACTCCTGCATCTCTCTGTCTGACATGGCGTACAGCTTGCCTACAGGGAGCTGTGCTCCAGGGAGTAAGTTGATTTGACAGTCAAAGGGTCTATGCGGGGGTAGTTGGTCAGCTTCCCTTTCGCTGAAGACGTCACGGAGATCTGCATATTGTCGTGGTACCTTCACGTTCTCTGTTACTTCAGTCCCTGCTAGGGTGGCTTGGACCCCTGCCAAACCCTTTCCCTCTTTGCAGTGTTCTAAGCAATGTGCTGAACCAAAAGAAACCACTCTCTGATGCCAGCCCACCAGCGGATCATGTAACGCTAGCCAGCTCATCCCCAATATAATGGGAGCTCCTCCCAAGGTGGCCACATTAAAAGCTATCAGTTCGGTGTGCCTTGCTACCTTCATTATCATTGGGACGGTCTGCAAGCTGACTTCTCCACCCAACAGCTCCCTGCCATCGATCGTGGTCACCTGCAGGGGGCTGCTTAAAGGATTGTCTGTATCTGGTGTTCAGCTGCAAACTCTTTGCTCATGAAATTGCAGGAGCTGCCTGAGTCCAACAGCGCCTTTATCTTTAGAGGGTGTCCGTTTGGCAGCTCTAGCGTCACTTCTATCACTAGGGCGGGTTTAGGAGGTTCTGGCGTGGGCACTCTCACTGCTCTTTGGCCTGGCTGCTGTGCCCTGACAGTGGCAGCCAGGCGTTGGCTTTACTTGCTCCGGTATATTTTCCTCTCTTCCATCCACAGCCCCTACCATCCCTTGCCATTCTTTCCTCTGGGGGCAGACTCTGGCAAAGTGACCTGGCTGTTGGCAGAGATAGCATTTCCGGGCGCCTTTTCCTCCTTCTTTCCCCCTCACTGGGCTTTGAAACTGCGCGCGCGCGCTGTTCCGATTTCCATCGGCTCTGCCGGTGGGAAAGTTGGCTCTGGAATGTCTGGAATGCGGAACTCCTTCCAACGTTCCCCTTTCCCTTCCCGCCTCTCCAATGCTCTCGCCTCCTGGCGCGCTCCTATGGCCAGCGCTGATTTGGTCAGCTGGTCCATAGACTCCGCCCTGGGCGCCCGGGAAAGTTCGTCTTTCACAGCCGAAGAAAGCCCTTCTTCAAAGAGCATTTGAATGGGTTCCGCCGATAAGTCCCACCCCAATCTGTGAACAAGCATGGTGAACTCAGTCCAGTACTCACGGACAGATCGGCTCCCCTGTTTGCAACCCATTAACTGTCTGCGCACCACTCCCTTTTCAATATCGCTGGAAAACATCAGATCCATGGCGCGAAAGAACTTCATCGTGTCTTTTAAAACGTCACTATTCGCTGCCATCAGGGTCTAACCCAGTCTCTCGCCCCTTTTCAAGATGCTCAATCACGAAAGCCACTCGTGATTCCTCGTCAGGAATTCATCAAACTGCAGATTGAGGGCATATTGCATTTCTGTCCGAAAACCATGATAGTTTTTGGGCTCCCCCCCAAACTTCTGCACCAATCCTGGTACCTTTCTGGCGAACTGGGTGGCTTCCCCCTTTTGTCTGCATCCTGAGCCCTCCTCTCCTCAAGCCTCGCCGTCTGCATCGCTAGCTGGACCTCCAACATCTGGTACCTTTCTTCCAGGCTTGGACCCGCTCCAGCTCCTGCTTCTCCGGTTCCGGCTGGGTTGCTCATGATACCTTCTCCTGCACAAGCTGCTTTCAAAGACTGTCGGAATGCTGTGATGGGATGATGAGCTGCTTGTGCGTAAAATCGTATCCCCTCAGAGTTTGTTCAAGTCCACAAACCTCTGTCTGTGACAGAGCCCCTCAGACATGGCTACTCTAGTCACTAGCAGATTCCGACAGTGGTTGCTTTCGTAATCGCTTCCAACATAAAAGCTCCTTAACGGAAACACGTCTTCTGGAATCTCTGCGTGACAGTTTCCGGCGAGGAGTGGGTGTTCTTACAGGAGGTCCTGAAACCTCTCCACTGTTTTCGCTGGAAGTGTCTCTGAGCCATCCCTCCAGCTCAGCTCCTCTCCCCTGCTGGTTCCCTCATCAGCTGCTGCGTCTCTCCCAACCTGTGTGAGCCCTTTCACCTCCCTGTTGGTTTCCTCTTCAGCTGCTGCGTCTCTCCCAACCTGTGTGAGCCCTTTCACCTCCCTTCCGTCCGATGGCAGTTCCCTGACACTAGCTAACAGGACCAGTGGTCAGGGATGATGGGAATTGTAGTCCCAAAACATCTGGAGGGCTGAGTTTGGGGATGCCTGCCTTAGAACCTCTGAGCCCTCCCAATTCACTGTCCCCTTGGTCATGTGGGGTGGGGTTGGTTACCTTTTTCTCCCTTGAAGAAGGAAGTTGGGAGCGTGGTGCTCTTTCCCACTTATGCTTTCAACTCTATGGGCTTTTCAAGCAGATTAGTTCTACTAGATCCAGGTTTTACGGAGATCCCTTGGGAAAGTGAGGTGAGGATGCATGCACGTTCTGTCTCTCTGCAGGGGGCTCACTGGGTAGCGAGCAGTAACTAGAGAGGGGGTGGCACCCAAGGCACTCACTCAAATACACACATGTGCCCACAGACCTAAAGGGTGGCAATCACTGTATACGCAGAGCGTTAAGGGACCATTCATAAATTTGCTCCATCACCTCCATCATCGCATTCTGTAGCATGTGTAGACGGGACCTCTGTTTCTGCAAGTAGGCAGGAAGGAGGGGTGCTCTGGAAAGGCTGAAGCGATCTAGTTAGACTGCTGTTCCAGTTGGCTGGATGGAGATAAGGTGCACTGTTTGCGCAACGGGAATTTTTTGAAACAAGGGGTGGGTTCCTTCTAGCTAATGCCTCCCCATAAAAGGAGAGCTTTCCTTGAGGAATCTGAAGAGGTATGGAGTTTGACTGGGCCTTCAGAAAACTTTGATATCAGAAGAGAGGTTTCTGAACCCATAGCGAAGACTCCAAAACTTCCGCTGCAACATTAGTTTTCTAATTACAGGGAATCTTTCACATAGGGGAACCTTCAGTCCATCCAGAGACTGAAGAGGCACAGTCCATTGGATTCCACTAGCTTATTCCCCACTTGGTTCTACCTGCATGTGGAAAGCAGATGTATGGGATCTTAGTCCCCTCAAACACAAGAGATCAGGTCATGAAGGCTTTATGCATCCTGCTGTTGTATCTGCTGCAGCTCCCTCCCCTCCTCCCCTCAAGTTTCCTGCCTCTTTGACAGACAGAAATTCAACAGGTGCAACTGGCAAGCAATAAACAAAGCAAAGCAATGCTTTAGTTATTATTAGGCCAGGTAAAATGAGGGTAGGAAGGGAGTGTGCCTTTGAAATACCAGCTGAGCGCTGGTTTTTACTGGTGAGTCACAAAGCCTGCCCTAAGGCAGGAGTTCAAGAACTGTGCTACCACAGCCATCTTTTGGAAAGAGAAAGCAAAAAGAAGGACTCCAAATTTAATCAGCAGGCATATCAACTAAAGTAAACATGGGGGACCTGGTCTCCTCCAGATGCTGTTGGACTCCAAGTCCCACTAGTCCCAGCCAGCATGCCCAATGGTCAGGAAGGATGGGAGCGACAGTCCAGCAATATATATGAAGTGTCACTGGTTGCCACTCCCTCCCCATACCCAAGTTATGAACTGGGGGGGGGGCTCAAATTTAGTTAGGACTGAGAGCTGAAGGAACGTATTTCTTTTAAGAGGCTGCTTTGATTTTGGGATGTTTCTGTAATCAGGCTTGACAAAAAGCAAATATTGCCTTCCAAAAGGAAACAGTAAAACAGAGAGCTTCATTCATTCAAATATCTTGCATTTCCCTCAATAGCTCAGAAAGGCCCTTAAATAGCAGTTTTTACCACTGAAATTATTTACATTGAACTTTGTAATTAATTGTTCAATTGCTTAAAAGGTGGGTGATTAGCCAACTAAAAAAATATTTAATTGGTTTCCTAAGAAAGGAGAGGGGCAAGATGGATAAAGAGAAGCGGGGGGCCACAAGAGAAGGGGGAAGGGGACACAGAGGCTCAGTGTATTGTTTTTTGCTTGGATTTAAAAATAGCCACAGAGAAGCTCCCATTTTGATCTGCGCAGCAGCACTGAGTGGAGCTGTTTAGTCCCTGCATCCCCCCAGTGGTGTTTCCCTGTCCCAGATGCCCACCCCCCGCCACTGTATTTTCCCCACCTTGGTAGAATTAGCACAGCTTCAGGTGTGCATGAGTTTGGTGAGGGAAATGGTACAGCATGTAACAGTCTAAGACACCATCAAAATTAGAGATCTCCTGTGGCTGCAGTAAAGTAAAAACAACAACAGAAAAACATCAGGAGATCCAATATGGATCTCTTGCATCACATCCATTTGGCCTAGATCAGGGAGAGGGGAACCTGTGGGCTCTGATATGTTGTTGGACTCCAAATCCCATCAGCCTCAGTCAGCATGGCCAAAGGTCAGGGAAGATGGGACTTTTTGAAGAAGAAGGGGGGCAGATTAAGACAGACAGAGTCAGAGTAAAGGCACAACTTATGTGTGCTTAGAAGATTGATCCACATGGTTGTGCTCAGCCCCAACAGGCCATTTCACAGATGGCTGCATGCAGAGCAGCCCAAGACATTTTGCTGCCAGAGGCTGAAGACAAGATCCTTCACTCCGCCCGCATTTAAACTGGAAGGGCAGCTGAATTTTACTTCAGCACTGGCGAGGGGACAGCATCCTCCTCTGCGCTAGAGCGGAAGCAAGCTCGCTCTTCAGGGCATGCGCAGCTCTGGCGTCAACATCTTGCCTGCTTCCCTCCCCATCTGCTGCCAGAGTTGGCAGCCTCACTCTGCCTCATAGTAGAGCCGCCTCTGGCTAGACGAAAGAGATGGGGGTGCATGAGGGTGGTCCCTCAGCATCCTATAATAATAACCCTCCATGGGCTCTGTTAAGGCCAAGGTAGGATGAGTGGGTTACAGAGCAAGAGAGCATCTTTACTTTACTTTACGTTACTTTAACCACCATCTCTTTGCACAGCTCATTCACCCTGCAACAAATTCTACGCAGGAGCGCAACAATGGCTGCAGCACTGGAGAAGCTGCTTTGCACGTCCAGGGTCCCAGCCTCAGTTCCCAGCACCCCCATGTCCTTTGTTGCTGCCAGTCAGTGCTGACAGTACCAGGCTAGACACACCAATGGTCTGGCACAGTTCAAAGAAGCTTCCTAAGTCCCTAGAGGCTTAGTCCACTTTATTTACCAGCACCAGACATAGGAGTTGTTTTATTATTATTATTATTTAAATATATTTGCTGCTTCTGCTCTTGTGCATGAGGCTTCCCCGCTTCCCCACCCAAGTATCATTATTTTTTAAAATAAAAATGGCCCCTCTAACCTTGGCAAGCATGGGCTGCCTACATGTCTCGGCTTCCCTCACAGAGTCCTGGGAACCATAGTTTGTTGAGGGTGCTTGTAGCTCTGTGATGGTAAACTACAGTTCCCATTATTATTTGCAGTGTGGAGCCATCTACATTATATATATGGTTTGCATGCAGCCTTAACCACAGAGCTGGGATATAGAAGCCTTTTATGTCTTCCAGACAGAGAAGCTCTAGTCCCAATTATTATTTTCTTTCCACAGCCTTTATAACCTTACATTTTCTCTCCCCACCCCCCATCACTGCTTCCTCTCCTGGAGCATCCTGGGCATTGTAGTCTTCAGAGCCAAGGCCGGTTCTCACTACCACTTCAGCAGTGTGGACTTCCTGCCTATGGAAAACCAGCCCCATGCGCATCTGCCAACATATGCAGGACTTGTCTTCTTAACCACATGCTGGGAAGATTCATTTCCCAGGCAAGCACCTCCCAATGAGTGCTTGAAAGCAAACTCTGCCCATGTCAGCCAGTGCTTTTTACAGGCCATGGTTGTGTCCACACTCCTGTTTACTGTGCCCTCACTACATTTCCAGTTCTGGAGATTTAAGCCCTGTTCACACAACAAACTGCATCTGTATCCCAAACGGTTATAAAATATTGCTGCCTGACATGTTGTTTCTCAAACCAGCTTCATGCTAATTGAGGTCCTTAGCTGATCCTAATTTGTTGATAACCAAGGTGTGAACACCTTGTGTAAACACATTGGTGCCCTGGAGCGTACACAAGCAGCAGCAACAAATCTGACCTTAATGAAGCCATGCTGATGTGAACAGCTAGCGGGGAAAGACCTGTGCAATGCTTGGGGGTGGGGACAATGTCTCTTGTAAGGCAGGAATGTAAAAAAACACTAGGAATAATAAACTTTTGCACACAACTGTGGCACAACTAAATGGTTGTTACAGGAATAGGGCCTTAGACTGCAGGTTGATACCTCTTAGCTCTGCGGGTTTCAAGCAGTCTTTCTCGGAACTGGAGGATTTCTTTCGTGTTTATCAGAGGTTCCTTGGAAGAATGATCAATAATTATAGACAAATTCCTCCAGAAACATCTTCTACTCTAAGGCAGCCCCCCTCCCATGCCTCAGTGCTCAGCAGTAGAGTTGTCACATTTTGCCTATAACTATTTTAGCATATGGGAGGGGTGAGTGCTTCTGAACACCCGCAGAGTTTCTTCCACCGCCCCTCTTGGCATTAGCAGAGTGTCATTTGTGAGCAGAATACCCTGCTGCCTGCCCAGCAACTGCCTGGGTGTGCTGGGAATCTGGTGCCCGGCATCCTGCTCGCAGGGGAGTTTGGTACCCAAACTGCTGCACTGCCTGTGAAGCCGCCCTGGCAGAAGACAGCAGGTGGCCAAGATGGCTGCGAGGGAAGAAGCTCAGGGTTTTCCTTCAGCTACCTGAACATCCTTGGTGAGACAATGCTCCCTGTTGCCATTTGTCATCTGCCTCCTGCAGAAATGGTGCCAGGATACTCTCCACCAGTTCACAAAAGAAAGCAAGGCCAGGCTTGCAATCCTCTCCCCTCACAGCCTGTTTTTTCATGACATGCATCATTATCCTCCCTGCACCCATCATTCCACGCTCCCAAAGGCTTCTCTCTGCCTGCCGCCTGCTGTATCCATTTGCTCTGGCCTGACTTAAAAGCCAAGATGGTGTTTGTTCTTTTGGTTTTACAAATACAGTAGAAAAAGAAAGAAAGAAACATGTTTGTTCTGTAGTAAGTCATTGGCAGTTCAAAATAGACTTCAGCAGGTGCAGTGGATGGAACAGCAAGCTGTGTGGTGTATGGTGACTTAGTGTTCATGCGTGCACATGCCACCGCATGTGCATTAGAGACAAGATATATGCTCTGCTCAGAGATTTCCCTCCTAGATTGCCTGGGGAGGGAACTCAACACTGCAGAACAGGCTACACCAACCTGGTGCCTGCTGGCTGTTTTGAACTACAACTCCCATTGATCCCAGCACAGCTTAGGGAAGACTACTGCAGAACTATAGCTCTTGCATTTTCTACTAACAAAAAATATTAAAAGGCATCCCCCCCCCAAAAAAAGCAAAAATAGGGGGCATTGGTTTACCTGGGACAGGAAAGCAGAAAATAAAAGCTGCCCCTAGTAAATAGGAATAACTGGAATATGATTTTTAAAAATATATTTTTAAAGACTCTTAATATAATTTTCAAAATCATTTAAGCATCTTACAATAAAAATGGATTTGTACCCCATCCCTCCTCCCAACCACTCAGGATGTGTAGCGCACACATTCACAACACTGTGGAATCAGAGCACACACATGCTCATGCCTGCCTTCAATTGTAGCAGAAGCGTGGAAATGCCTTGTGGCTTCTGAAAATCTAACAGCTCTGCCATGGCACAAGCTTTTGGTGGTCGCTGAGTCCAGAGATGGATGAAGTGTAATCCTCAGTAGGCACAAATATATCCATGTGAGTATAAAAGTGGGTGGGGAGGGAACGTAATGGCTGGGGTTTACGGGGAAAGAAATGCAAAAAAGGGCATTAAAATTCAAGCTGAAAGGTTTGGTAAGCAAACACAGTGACCCTTTGCAACCACTTTTGCCAACCTGGTACCTTTCAGGAGCTTCAGACTACATCTCCCCTCTGCCCCTGCCAGCATGCTGGCAAAGGATAGGTGATGCTAGAATGAATGGGGAACCTTGTTCTCTCCAGATGTCTCTGGTCTACAGTTCCCTTCATCCCTGAGCACTGGCCATGTTGACTGGGGCTGATGAGAGTTCAACAGCATCCGGGGGGTGGGGGGTAGCTTCCCCATCTCTGCATTAAGATGACACAAAGTGTTTGTTGGTTTTGCTGCTGCAAGAGACTAGCATGGCTGCCTCTTTGGCTAACAATTAAAGCAAGTAGCCAGAAAGGAGAACTATGCAGTGGTTCAGGCAAAGTCAAGTTGGGTGGCAAGTATCCTTGCAAACCAAGAGGCCATTCCATTGAAAGTGCTGCCCGGAGCACATGGACCTGGGTGATTCAAGCAAGGCTCAGAGGCTGTGGCTTAGGACAATGAGCTGCCATCTCAGTGCAAGAGATGGCAGCATATACAAGGCAGCCTTTTGATCTTCTGTTCAGCATGGTGCTGCACACCCAGTGGGAGACAGCTGGGGAGCAGGGCTTTGGCTGCAGCTGCTTGGGGCTGCTGTGTGTCTGCCGCAGCCTTCAAGGCACTGACACCCTCTATCTTGCCCTGCCGTGAAACAATAGCCTTTGCATCCTGACACATCATCCCCAGCAGGGATCCAGAGCCGCCTGCGACAAACATCGCCAATCCATGCTCCCTACGGCGCACGCATCCTGAAGCTGCAATCTCTAGGAGAAAGCAGGATGCCCAAAGCATGCATTACGGTTGGGGGTGCGATGCGGAGGAAGTCAAGTGGAGCGAGTAGGGCAGACCACCTACCACCCCACATTGCCCCTGCTTCAGCCAGATACTGTTGCTCTTCAGCCCCCTTCTTTGCTTGCATAAGAGGTCCCTAGAAGGGAAATATATTTGTAGCTCATTTCCCCAGCATGCACATCGACCACATTAGCCAGCCTCAATTCCGCTGGGAGCTGAATGTAAGCCTAGGCACTTAACTTGCTGTGCTATTATAATAACCCTGGTGATGTCATTGGGGTGTTTCTGAGTCACCCTGTTGACCAGCTGGCCTGAGAGACCCACAGAGGCTCTACAAGAACCAGTCATTCCAACAAGAGAGAATGCTACTCTGTGCTTTTTATGAAGGACTCCTTCCTTTTATTGAGGGCTTCTTACCTTAAGAAGTATTTGCGCAATTGTCCACCAAATTCAATCATGTCAAATGGGGGAAAATGTGATATGTATGTCATTAGGAATATTAGAACAAATCAGATGAAAATCCCATTTTGGCCAGCATTTTGTTTTCCAGTAACAGCCAGCAATCTGTATCTGAGAACCTCATAGGCAGGAGTTAAAAGCAATAGCCTTCCCCTATTCTTGATCACTGTTATCTGTTATATTATACAGGTATACTGCCTCTGTACATGGGGTCTCCATTTCCTGACCATGGCTAGTTGCTGTGGATAAACATATTCCCACCCAACCCCGTGGATCTGTCTCATCCTTTTGTTGAGCCAAATGCCATCATCCATTCCATCTTGCAGCACTGAATTCTGTAGGTTACATTTGTATAAAGGAGGTAACTGATTAACTACTTAGAAGTTTGGAATTTCTATGCTATTTGCTTGCAGGATAGATGATGATAGATGATAGATAGTTAGATAGATAGATAGATAGATAGATAGATAGATAGATGATAGAGATAGATAGATAGATAGATAGATAGATAGATAGATAGATAGATGAGAGCGAGAGAGGGAGGGAGGGAGACAGAGATGCAAATTCACAACAGATGGCCAATTGGCCTACTGTGACAATCCTCAACATTGGCAGCCTGGGATTTGACACATTCAGGCTGCAGAAATCACATCTTGCTAATTCACATAATAAACTTAACTGGCATGCATGTTTACATTCTTCCCTATTGAGTATCCTGACCTCTGTCTAAGTGAGGTTCCTCAAATCTCACGCACCTTCACACATACCTACAACAACAACTGCAACCACACAAGGGCTGGCATCCCCATGCCCAAAACCTCCGGATGGCAACTGGCACATGGACCATGCAATGCTGGAGTGATGGGTTTGGGGGGCCTGTGCCAATTGGGAACAGAAGGAGCAGGGGTGGAGTGAAAGAGCGAGTGGGAGAGACTATACCATGAGAAGAAAGGGGGTAGCTGAGTGTAGCAGCATATTCTACCATGCACAGGCAATCACAAAACACAGATACCCAAACCTGATATATCACAGGTGAGTGAAGGCCGGTCATAAGTGAGATAGAGCCAGGCAGGAAATCAAATGGCTACTAGAGGCTATTAATAAAAGGATGATCTGGTGATATATAAATCAGCATTTTTGCTTAAGGGACTTGTAGCAGGATACTAAATCCTCCTTCTTGGAAGTCAAATGGTTAAAAATATGCTTAAAAACACTCTCACTGAAGCCAAGATTTTAAAATGGTTTGTACATTGTGTTTGCACAGAATCTTGCCAATGGTTTCCCTTGGTTTATTTCAGCCTTGCCTTAACCACAAGTTGTCCCACAGATGATCAAATAAACCATGGCTTGTATCTCCAACATTTCTTTTCTTTTCCAACTGCTTCTGCTTCATGCCTTTGTAGCCTGGCAAGGGCCCAAGGTGGGTTGGTGTTGAGTTCACATATAAGGCCAAGCCATAGTTAAAACAAGCCAAGGTTATGAACAATAACAAAAGGATAGCTTCAGGAAATGATTAAGCCACTGGGCAGGGTTCACATAAACCATGGTTTTAATGTCATTCCACCAGGGCCTGCAGGTATAAATTAAAAGAGTCAAAGAAGCACCTGCATATAGACCAAATGTACACCAACAGTAAGCCTGGTTACTTCAGAATTGCACCCAGAGCAATCTTATCAACAGAGACTGTGTCATGGTGCCCCACCAGAGAAAGACATACTGGTAAAACCCAATCCACTAAAAAGAAGTGTGAATTAAGGAGCCCCCTGCAATCAGCTCTGCATGGATGCACCACGACTCCCCTAAGGTCACCAATGTTTTTCTAACAAGACTTCCTTTGCCTGTGCCTGGGATGTAGAGCTTGAACAGAGAAACCACATGGCCTGAGATTGGGAGCTTGTCTAGTGAGCCACCTAGGAATGTGTGTGTGCCCAAGCCACAGTGTCCTTCTCTGACCCAGAAGGAAATAGGGCTCTGCCATAGCCATGATGGTGAGGTGACTAAAAAGTGGCAGAGATTGATCAAGCTGGAACCCAGGTAGGTCTCCATTGGTCAATAGTTATTAGAGCTAACCGCCATCTGTATTGGCATTCTGTTGGCCTCTGAAGACACACCGGTTTATGCAGGCATTCCTTTGATGTCTCAACCCAAGTCTCCTGTTTCAATTGCTGTATTGTTTTAACAGGTATGCTTTAATTTTAATTTATTTTAATTTATGGATCTATAGCTCAATGTTTTAACACGATTATTTTGTTTTGTATTTTAATCAACTATTTTTATGTGTGATAGTACTCACTGAACTGAATTTCAGCCACCTCTTTTTCTTTTCTTTTCTTTTTTCCTTTTGCTGTTCATGACAACCATTGGGTGTTGGAACCCACTGCATGTTTATCAAAATATGAGTACCAGCACCTTATGATTTTGTTTTGTTTTTAACCAAAAAAAGCACTGCTTTAAATTATGGTTCTTTACATTTTAATTTTCTGTGTAACTAGTTTTTTATACTTTATGCTGGTTTTTTAAAGTGCTTAGGATCCTATTTTTTGCAGTGGGAGGTGTTAACAACAACAACAACAACAACAACGATAACACAGCTTTCCTTATTCAGTTCATTTTTGGTTTTTTGGTAAGGCGCATGCTTGCAGTCACTCTTTGCTGCTTACAAACAGATGCCCCCTTTTCCCTCAAGTGTTTGAAAGTGAAGGACTCTTTTGAGTTAATCTGCACATCCAATTCTGCCTTCACACAAACACACGGAGAACAGGAGCAAACTCTGCCCATAACTCTGCCTATTAATTACAGGCAGAGCTCTTGAAACATGAACAGTCCATAACAATGGCAAAGAGGCAGCAAGGCCGGCACCTGCTCTGTCTGGCAACTGCAGGGATGATGGAGGACTGAAAACCATTGAGGTTGCAGACCAGAGTAGCCCCACAGCTGCCAGAAATATATATATTTCTTTTCCAGAAGATCTTCCTCTGTTTATGAATAACACCCAATGTATAACTCAAAGGCATGAAAGGGCTGGGAAACCTTGAATGATCTTGGGAAATGCAGCTTCCTGTGGGTCACTGGGACATAAACATGCTGCATGAGAAACTGGTAGAATTCATAGAATCATAGAAGTGTAGAGGTGGAAAGGAGCCTGGCCCAAAGGTCATCTCGTCCAAGCCCCTTGCTTTAGTACAGTTCGTTTTGGGGGCCCAATCCAGCCCCCATGGCAGTATATGTCCTAAAAAAAAGCTCAACAACTTTGGTCGGCCCTCACACATGTTCACTTCATCAAATCTGGCCCTCTTTGAAAAAAGTTTGGGCACCCCTGCTTTAGTATAATATAGTTACTGATGTATCCTAAGGCTTAGTATGTCATGACAACCAATCATTTATTTTAGCCAGTATCCTGTTATGGACAGTTGACAGTATCAGGTGTTATAAAGGAGGTATATAAAACAGCTTACACTCCTTTGGTTTACACCCATTCTACAGGTTAATTAGATCATCATTGACAAAACCATTGTTTAACTAATGGTGAAGTCACAATGAATTGCCTTTTCCTTTCCTCCCTCCAGGGGATTATGGCGCACTGGCAATCCTCCTGAATTCTCTGAAATGGACTGAGCTTGCAGGTCCTGACTCAGCCCACTTGTGTTGATTTCCCCACATTAAAACAAAAACAAAACACAATTCTACAAACTGGTGCTGTCCTAATATTCCTGCCTGCCATCAATTTGTCTAGCTCATTTTCTAATCCAGTTATACAGTTGACCATTAGCATATTCTGGGGCATTCAATTCCAAAGCTCAGCAGTAGTGCTGTATTTTCTAGTTTAAAATCCCTATTTATTTTACATTATGTGCGCATGTGCTCATTTCATCTGATCCAATTCCATGCACAAGGACTGATCCCATTCATAATGGAAGCATTGAGTTCTCCATCTTCTTACCCATCAGTCTTGTTCAACTAGCCCTTCTTGGTTATCACGACCTCTCAAAATCATGATTCCCTTGGGAGAGTTCACAGAGTCCATTCTCACCCTGTAATGTTGCTCTGATAGAGAAATCAGGGGCAGGCGAGAGAAGGCTCTCGGGGGATGCCTAGCACAGGAAGCTAGGCATGATTTAGCTCCATGCCATATAACATGCCTGTCCCCAGCTGTTGTCCAGCCTGGGATTTTGGCACAGGAAGCAATGCTCAAGGGACTGATGCCTTCATAGGCTTGTGCTCCCTGGCTGGTGGGTCTCAGAGTCCCTGTATAGAAACCACAGGTAAATGGAGCCTTCTCTTCATGTTGGCTTCTGGAAAACTGGACAATCATGCCACTTACTGGCCAGAGTGGCCCAACAGCTGTGGGTAGAGAAGGTCATCCAGCCAAGGAAGCCGGAAGGTTGGGGGGAAAGAAGGCAGAGGACAAGTGTAGGCTCTGGGAGAGCCAGGAGACAACTGGTGCTTGTGCTGTAGCCTCTGAAGGGAGGGGAATCTGGGTGAAGGCATGGTGTGGGCAGGAAGGTGAGTCTGGAGGGACTGGGTCTGACTGGTGTGTCAAACCAGAGAGTCACACATTCTCTGGAGACTTGGAACAAAATTAGACCATGCAGCCTTAAGAACAATCCTGGCTTTTGGTTGTGATCATTCCCTAAGGGAGTCTCCTTGGGGAAGTGCAAAATTGTTTCACCAAAAAGCTGAAGGATGAACCCAGACAGTTCCCCTTCCCCTTCATCTTCCATGAGCCTGGGGAGGGGGAAAGGCAGACACAGAGAGAAGCATCTTCCATTTTGCCCAGATAACTCCCTGAAATTCCTCTTCAATTATTCAGACCTCCTCCATACCTTAGCAAGGCCAGCCAACCCAAGATGCAGACTGGGAGGGCAGCCAAATTGGCACTCGTCACCCAGCTGGCATTTTTGACTTCTCAGCCTGATACAGGTTGGGGCTGCAAGACAAATGCTGGTTGTCCATCCCCTCTTTTCTTTTCCTTTCTTTTGGTAAACCGTTTGTGTTAGGAAAAGTAAGCACCATTTCTTTCCCACAACTTCAACACACACCAACCTGTTTCACCTGGAAATCTCTCCCCTTTCCTCCTCTTAATGAAAACATGGTCTACAATGACCCTGGGCTGAGTTCACCTCTGGTGCAGGCCAAAGGGTACATAGCCTGGTGGCCATCAAGGTCCACCTGCTGTCTGACACCTTCCTCCCTCTATCCCTTTCTTTGTCACCTCTCACAGCCCTGTCAGACGGGCAATAGATACTCAGCACAGACACAGATGGGGCATGCGGCAACAGAAAAGTGCAAAGGGAAAATAAGAAGAGAAACGGAGGGGGTGATGCAATAGCTGAGGGGGGAATGGATTTTGGGATGGAATGACAGGTCGGATGAAGAGGTGGAAGAGGGATGGATGGGTGAACTCTAAAGGAAGGTGGGAGCCTGCAAAAGTGAGAACACTGGCGGGAATGAATAGAGGCACTGCAGCGCATGCATGATAAGGAGCTGCCTGCCTTGTTGTGCGCCGTGACAAAAGAACAGGGGGGGGCGGCAGGGTTTAAGAAGCTTTCCCACCTGGTGCCCTCCAGATGTTTGGGCAGTGCTGGCTGGGACCAATGGAAGCCGCAGCCTGAAACACCTGGAGGGCACCAGCTACCAGTTTGCCAGCTTGCCCTATGCTTGACACAAAGGTGCCACGCAGTGTGGAGACAGTTGGGTGGGGGGAAGTCGGCCTGGAGGAAGCATCTGCCACATCTTGGTGCCCCGACACTCGAAGTGGCCAAGGCTGGGGGAGGGGAGAAATAATAGAGATGGTTGGCCCCCTCTGGAGAACTGGGAGCGGTGATGGGGGGGGGGGGAGTAGCTAATCCTTTGTCTCCTTCAGGCAGAAGGAGGAAGGAAGGGTGGGTGGGTGGGTGGATGGATGATGGATGGATGGAGAGATGGAGGGATAAGCGGGGCGGGAGGGGTGGCTTCCCCATCTCCCCTTGCCAGCTCCTTACCAGTCTGTCCCTGGCTCATCCACCACCAGCAGCACTTTGCTGCGCCCCGAGGACCCTCCGGAGCCGGCGACCCCCCCGACCTGCTCGCTGAAGGTGGCCGCCGCCGCCGCGGTCGTCTGCTTCACGGCGTTGGAGAGGGAGGAGAAGAAGCCCCCGGCCCCGCCGCTGCTGCCCGCGCCCGGGCTGGGGGCCGACGGCGGCCTTTCGGCGGGCGAGACGCTGCCGGGCGACGGCGAGGTGGCGCTGGGGGGCGGCGGAGGGGGCTGCGGGCGCTGCAGGTCCGTCATGTAGCCGTTGGGCAGGTTGGCCATGAAGTTGCTGTCCGAGAGACGCCTGCGCAGGTAATTCATGTTGGCACCGGGAGGGGGGGTCGGCGGGGGGGCAGGGGGACTCCTAGGGAGGGGACCCCCTCGAGCGCTGCGTCTCTGGGTGGGGTGGGGTTTGCTAAGCCTTCCAGGTGGGATCCCCACCACCCCCACCCCCGGACGGCTGCTGCGGAGATCTCAGGGGTTGATCCAGAGAACGGCCAGCCTGCCAGCGACTTCTCAAGGGGGGGGCGACTAACGGGGAGAGGCTCCCTCCCTGCAGCAGATCTGTCTCCTGTAGGGAAGATGAGGCTGCTCTTTTCCTTTTAGCCCTCTGGGATCCTTTGCTTCTCAGGGGATTTGCAGGAGGGATCTCTCTCTCTCTAGCCGGGAAAGGGTCCTCCAAAGCGCTTTCTCGGCGCGCCTGCCTCCTGGGGAAAGGATCTATAGGGAAAGATGGGTGCCCTTGTTCCCCTGCGCTTTGGGAGCGGGAGATCGCTCGAGAGAAAGGAACAGCCAGCCCGCGACTCCTCCCAAGTCCTTCTGTGAGCCTCAGCAACCAGCCCTGCCCAGTTAAGCGGCTCTCCTGCGCGTGGACTCGCCCAAATGCTTCCCTTCCCCCCTCTGCGGCTGCAGTGGTAGGCGCCTTGCCTCTGCGAAGCGAATCCCGGGGTGGACCATTAGCCGACGGGAGAAGGAGAGGAGCTCGGCTGCTCTCTCCTCCGCCCCCCTCCCTGGCGAGTGCGAATGGTACGGCCCGGTACCCAGCAGCGGAGATGCGGGGACAGAGGCAGAAGGATGCTGATGATGCTGTGCGCTCCGGTGGAATTGATGCTGGTGGTGCCACTGCCCTTAATGCTGAGGTTGACGTCATGGTGCCAGTGTCGATGATGTCACGAAGCTGGTGGCAAAGAAATCCCAAAGCTGATTTATATTCCCACTGGTTCCACTGCACTGTAGGATGTATCAATGGATATCGGAATAAGTGGAAAGCCTCCCTTGAGGGCTGCAGGGAATGGGATGCAGTCACAGGGAGAGGCGGGAACTTCCCTCTTGCCCATATTTTGATCCTTCAATGAATGGGCCAGAGACAGACAGCCAACCACCACCCAGGACTCTGAGAAAGAAGAGAAATGGGAGGTCTGTTTCCTACCTGCTTGAAGTGTGACCCGGCCGTTATGTGGACTTTTAATTGTAGAATTGTAGAAATGGCATTGGTTGTTTCTAGAGGTAGTTTGATTGTTTGCATTTAATCTTATTTTAGCTTATCAAAGGCCACTCCAACAGCTTCTGGCATTCTGCCCCTGAATACCAGTTCCTGGGAAGCATCTGTGAGCCAAGCGCTGTTGCTGCATCCATGCCCAGCCTGCAGGCTTCCCACAGGCATCCGATGGACCCCGTGAGAACAGGATGCCCTGGACTGATTGGGCCATTGGCCTGATCCAGAAGACTCATCTTGTGTTCTTAAGCAGTTTATCAATCTGTAAAATAAATAAATAACAATTTACCTACAGAGCTATGAAAATAAGCAGAGAAGGGAAAGGTGCACACCACCAAGCAAAAAGAAAAAACCAAACCAATAATAATAATAATAATAATAATAATAATTTATACCCTACCCATCTGGCTGGGTTTCCCCAGCCACTCTGGGTGGCTCCCAATAAAATATTAAAAACACAATAAAACATCAAACATTAAAAACACCTTCAGGTATTTTCTAAAAGTCAGGTAGTTGTTTATTTCCTTGATATCTGATGGGAGGGCATTCCACAGGGCGGATGCCACTACCAAGAAGGCCCTCTGCCTGGTCCACAGGGGTAGAAGGAAAAAAGGTTCATGGCCCTTGCTTATTTGTTTGTATGTTGCTTACATGGCACTATCAATGCTTTACAGACCAACATTAGGAAAAAGAAATAATGGTGCCTTCTATTAAGCTCTTAACCTTAAAGACTGTACAGGTATCTAGTTTATCTCAGGCTCACATAACAAGAGGGACCTGTGATTAGCATGGGCTTTCCAGCATGGCCCCATGCTGCAAAAGCAGATGCAGACACACTCTTCAGGCAAGAAGATGATCATGAGGCATTCAGATGGTTTCTCTCCGTGGCTTCCCAACACAAACTGAAGAGGTTAAGTATGCAGAGTTAAAACGGCATATATTTAAATAATTTTTTAAAAAAAATTTAAAGAGCAAATGTGTAAGGAAAATGAATGCATAGCACAGCCATAAGGTATGGCTGACAGTAAAGAGGGCTAGAATTTTTTCTGTAGGGGAAGGAGAAGCCTCAGGCCCCATCACAGCATTGTTAGTAAAAATGTTTTAAAAGGTTTTTGACTAACTGGGTTCCCCCTGCTTCTGCTGAGTTACCTCTAATGTTTTAGTTTTGGGGGTCTATTTTGAGATTTGTTGCTGAGAATTTTGATAGGAATGGGAAAACTGTTATAGATTTTATTACAGTTGTTATTTTTTATTTTAAAATGAACTGGGGTATACATTTTAAAAATTAAAAAACAATAAATAAAACACACAAGCAGAAGCACTTTACATGCAGCAGCATTTCATATGGAACTATACAAGCACACAGCTGTAGTCTGAGAATTTCCTTGAGGAAGCTGAAGAATCCTGAGCAGATAACAAATAAAATGCAGCCTCCTATGTACCTCACCTGAGAGTAAGCCCCACTGAATATAGATGGGGTTACTTTTAAGTAAACATGTCAAGAACTGCCCTGTTAAAGTAGCAGCCAGGGCATTAAGCTTTGCCTGTGTGTGTGCACATAGTGCTTTACAGGATAATGCTATTTACTCAAAAGTAAATCCTATTGAATTTAAGGGGTATACTCCCAAATAAACAGGATTAGGGTTGCAGCTTAAAAGCCTTAATGAAAAAAGTAAAAAATGGTGACACAAACATTGGCAAAACCACTTCACATATGAATACCTGCAGCAGCAATTCACAGGAAAACACACACAAAGCAGCATTTCACAAACACACATCCATCTGCAACAACTTCCCTTCCCACATCTTCTGTCTTCTGCAGCTGCTGCCTGCTCACTCTGGCAAGGGCCATTTTTCTTTTGGGAATCAGGCTCCATCTGGGAAGCTTAATCTGGCAGTGATCATGTGCTGAACAACCATAGCAAGAATATAAATAAACGTGCCTTTATGTAGATAACCTATTGCAAATGAAACCTTTGAGACTTTATAATATTAAGAATACACACAGATGTTCACCAAGCCAACACAAAGAGAACCTTTGCAGTACCCTTGAACCTGGCAACTCCAACCTACTAAAAGAGAAAATTAAGATTTAGGCCACATTCACACCAAATGTTTAAAGCACTATGATGTCACTTTTAAAAGTCAAGCCTTCCTCAAAAGCATTCTGTGGTTTGTTAAGGGTGCTGAGAGTTGTTAGGAGATTTCTATTCCCCTCCCAGAGCTACAGTGCTGAAACTGATTTAACGATCAATCCTTCCCAGGGAACTCTGCAGACTGTAGGCCTGGGAGGGGAAGAGGTGTCTCTGAATAACTTTCAGTGCCTTTAACAAATGACAGCTCTCATAACCGGGAGGAGGGAGCCATGACTTTTTGAAGTGGTATCATACTGCTTTAAAAGTCTGGTATGACACCACAGTTTGAGGGGCCCCAAAAATGGTAGGAAGCAGGGGACAGCTGCACCAGAAAACAATATTTGAAGCTGCAACACAACCATTATTTATCAACAGCTTCTGAAATGTGTCCAGATTTTACCCCTTTCCAGGTAGATCAAATTTCAGAAAAAAGCATCTTGATGTTATGATAACTAGAATTTTCAGTCTTTGTAAGGACAGAATGCTGAAAAGGTGAATGTTTTATAAAGTTTCTCCTGTGGCTTGGGCTGTATCATTAGACAAAATTCCCACTGGAGACAACTTGATACTAAAGCTGCCCCTTCTCTCCTGAGTGCCAGAAATGGGGAGAGGGGTGAATGAAAGGGCTTAAACAAGCCCATAACGTCCCTGGAACTCATAATGCCCTAAGTGCGGGCGGGCAGAGGGCAACTAGAGCACTGCTCCAATAAGCTCAGGCTGCCCTCAGCCTGCCCCACCTGCCTGCCTGCCTTCCTACTCACTAACCAGTCTAAGGGTTGACATTTCCCGCTGGCTTCCTCCTCCTTAGTCTCAGTGTTGCCCTTGTAGATCACAGCAGGGAGGAGGTTGGGGGAGAAACTAGAATTAGTTGACTCAGCCTGGCTCCACCTGCTGTTGGCCTTCCGCCTTCCACTTTAGCAGTTCCAATGGGCACCAGCCGCCACTCAGCACTGGAGGCAGGACAATGGCATAAGGTTTGACCAGGCAATATTTATCACGATGGGTGTGCTGTCCATAGTGCTGAAGATGCTGTGCCTTTGTCCATGGTGCTGATTGAACCTTACAGTTATGCTCTACCCTGCATATGCTGTGGAGCATGGGTAGGCAAACTAAGGCCCAGGGGCCGGATCCGGCCCAATCACCTTCTTAATCTGCCCACGGACGGTCTGGGAATCAGCGTGTTTTTACATGAGTAGACTGTGTCCTTTTATTTAAAATGTATCTCTGGGTTATTTGTGGGGCATAGGAATTCGTTCATTCCCCCCCCCCCAAAATATAGTCTGGCCCCCCCACAAGGTCTGAGGGACAATGGACCGGCCCCCTGCTGAAAAAGTTTGCTGACTCCTGCTGTGGAGGGAAGTGAGGGGCAGATGGGGCTCCTTAACCTGGGAAGGGAGCCCATCTAGAAGAAGGAAAACTCTGGTCCTAAACCCCGGCTGCTTTGTGGAATATCTTCAAGAGAAGGAAACTCCATGGAGTAACCGCCACACAAATCCAGAGTGGAGTCCCTGAGAGGGTTGGGTGGCAGCTTGTATGCCTCCTTTTGGAAACTCCCGCCGCTGAGTGGTGCCAGACCTATTGCTCTGCTTTCCTTTGAGCCACATCAGCAAGGCTGAGAAGTGAGTCTTGTCATATGGGCAGCCAAGGCTTGTGCCCCGGGGAGGTCACTTCGATGCTGCTAACACAGCAGT